CTCTCATGCTTTTTTTAGGTATTTTTCTTGTGGTGTTGGGGTATGAAGTGAGTGTGCGGAAGTTATTTATACTTTTGAAGTTTTTAACAATCAAATATAGAAACAAATTTAATCAAAAAACAAGTTTATCAAGAACATATGAGACAGAAAACAAGTTAAACGAAAAAAAATTGTAAAAATTCGGGAACATTTTATCTAATCAAAAAGAAATACAACATAGTAGTTCTGAGTTGAGTACTGATACTATCCGTACTCCACCGACAAGTACCATAAATTATCTGAGTCTGGAAGACAATAGGCAATTTTTTGCTAGGATAACCAAGCATAATCTTTTGCTGGATTATATGATGGGTCATTTTTGTCATACTCTCCTAACTCCCCCCCACAAATTCTGGGATACTCGAGGATCAAGAACCCTTAATTGCTACTGTGAGAACAAGCCGAAAATCACCTTTACTACATTTAAAATCGACGAAAAAATTAACTCACTAGCACAGCCTGAATCGCAAGCATTCCATCGAGGTCTGCGGGTGACGTCATCTGGTCATGATTCCAGCCCTCGACAGAGCATTTATTGTCGAAACAGGAGATAAGCGTTCTGTCTTAGTTGCCCATATTTCTATTTCCATAACACTGACAAAGACAGAGCAATCGTTCTTTCTCGTGAGAACGCTGTTCCCCGGATTCAAGAATAGGCATCCTGGTATACAAGTTTGCCGTCTCTTTCAAAATTTAATTTTCGATTTTTTTTTTATATCTACGAGTTTATTTTTTTTTATTCGTTTTTATCGGTTCCTTTAGTATCTAGTTGTGTGGAGGCCCCTCAGCTCTGGAGGCCCGACGCAGATTGCGTCGTTTGCTTCATGCTAGATCCGCCAAATTTAACCAGATTCTAGTATAATATAAATTTGATCTTTTTGATCAATACTTAGCATTGGCCTAACTTGATTCTATGACTAGTTTTTGAGATACAGGTAGTTTAATGTCCAAGAAAGCTACACATTTTATATGCATTTTCATCTACAAGTCACCTAATAATCAGGATGGTCAGGTATCCTCACGCTCAGGTGACAAGTAGATGTAAATGCATTAAAATGTGTACATTTCTTGGACATTAAACTACCTGTATCTCAAAAACTAGTCATAGAATCAAGTTGGGCCAATGCTAAAGTATCTATTGATCAAATTTATATTATACTAGAATTTGGTTAAATTTGGCGGAAGTCCCAAATCCCATAAGAGGTGTGCGGGGTCCTTTAAATTCTAAACTACGACTTCTAGTGCAAACAGCTGACGACTTGTTAATGACGTCGCAAATAGTGACACACCAATAGGGTGGGTAGTCCAACAAATCGGTTTTAATGGCTGCTGCAGGAGAAACAAGCCGGTTTCCCATATACTTACTTCGTGCTAGCTAATTCCATTTGAAAAGTGTTTAAAATTTTTTCCTGATAATTTTATTGCGTTTTCTCTATTTTGAACTGATAATTTCACTAATTTTATATTTCATATTCACAAATTATAGACTTAACAGCAGACGTCCTATAAATTTGAAGAATAAGCGATTATTATAATTATTTAATTACAAGTCGAGAGCTCTGAGGGTTGCCGAGCAACTAACACTACTGCTACAATTTACCATACAGCAAAATGCGGGCATTTTGATGCATAAAATTAACATATTATTTGGAATACTTCAAATTTCCTAAAGGATACATGGTAAACTTATGTTTGTTTATCCTGCAGCAGCCATATCTATTTCGTTTTTGACAGTTCGTTGGAGTGCCTCAAGCCCAAGAATCGTACCTCAAGCCTAGTACTCATAACTGCGAAATTCGCTCCTTTTTGACATTGCGTTGACAATTTTACGTTTGATTCACGCATAAAACGTCAAATTGTCGAAGCAATGTCAAAAAAGTGCGAATTTCGCAGTTATGAGTACCTACAAGGCTTTATATGGGTACTTTCCAAATTTCACCGATAAATTGACCGGTTGAATCTTAGAGCAGGTAAAGCGCTGTCCTACGGACATAAGGAATAGGAACGCGCCATTCTGCGTTTGATAGGTCTATTTAATGGCGTTTCCGATTGGTAAATTCAGTGCGCACTGAGTGTATTTGCATCCTTTTAATCGACCCGTAGAAGAAAAAGACAGAACTAGAAAAAATTGCACTAGTTCCGCACTAGATTTACCAATCGGAAACGCCATAACACACAGGCGCCAGCTTGTCACCAATGACATAACGTGACTTTCGATAGGGGGACACACATGTCATTGAGGTTATGTGTGTGACGTCAGCTAGCACCTAATTGCCTATACCCAGGTTTCTTGCCTATACCGCCATTTTTTTGGTGCCAGAATACCAAAAAAAAACGGCTTCATTTTTGAACTCCATGTTACTACTCCTCTTTACCTTTATCCAAGGTCCAAGAATGATACACACTACTACTACAGGACGGCCTATCTTCATAAGGCCTGTGTGTATCAAATCTCCCCCTACCCCCGATTCTATTTTTCGATTTTTCCATACGTATTACACGGTACGTCCGGAGCTGTCGTATTCGATATCGAGACAATTCGACTCAACGTGTGTATCAAATCTTCCCCTACCCCCCTTAGCCAAACAACCAGTTGTGACGTAAGCAGCATGGCGTTTCTCGACTTGACGTAGGCTGTTTAAATAGCTGACGACTAAGGCGGCGTTCCGTATCTTAACCAGAGTTACCGAATGGTTACCGATCGGTAAGAAGCGGTTCGTTTATGGTAATAGTCTGGTTCCTGAAAATGCGGTTTATGTGTGGAACGCTTCGGTTCAGCTTAGGGTTGCCAACCCTCCCGATTTAGGCGGGAGACTCCGGCTTTTTTGTCATGCCAAAAAGTCCCGCTTTCTAAGAAAACTTCCGCTAACTCCCGCTTTTCAACAATTTCGCATTTGACTAAAGAAAAATAATAATTTAATATTTAGCAAAAGAAATCTTTTTTTCGCTATCATCGGGCGTTTGCATCTTTATATTTAATATTTTAGGGTTTGGATATTCTTGGGTTTGAATATCAAAATGCGCCTACAGATATTATAAACACGTACCAAAGTTAATACTGTTTGGTTCACGAGAGTTTTGTACTTTTGCCTTCCTTTGTTTCTTTTTTAACAAATAAAAATTTACTGGAACAAATTGATTATGTCAAAAACATTAGTCGGTTTTTAAACCAGAATTCATAAGTCATTCAATACAATAACAGGTCTGTTTCTACAGAAATTACAAACCAGTCACCAGTCAGAGCGAATTGCATTGGTTGAAAACAGTCAGAAAACTAGTTTCAACCAATAAAATTTACTCTGACTGGTTTGTGATTCCTGCAGAAACAGACCTAATACAAAATCTGAACGCTATTGAATTTATATGAATCAATCCACGACAAACCTTTTTTTCCAAAGTAATGACATTATCGTTGTCATAAGCACAAACCTCCGTGAAATCAACTTTAGGTTGTTTGGTAATGGGTAACTTTGATGTTATCTGGGGTGCCTTATGGAGATTTGCATTATGTTGAGGCACCCCAGATGACGTCATAAATGTTATGAGGCAACCTAAACTTGCCATCTACCATCGATTACGCATGTAGTTCAAAGCTTTTCCAAAAGTTCTTTTCACGTGGCTCCGGTTTAACTAACCGGGTTACAAAACGGTTAGAGAAATGACATACCGTTTTCTAACCTGGTTACAAAGTTACGTGATGGATACCTACCACTCGAATTTGAGCGGTATGTTGCGGTTTGTTAAACCGGAGCCACGTGAAAAGAGTTATTGTATGTAATTTGTTTGACAAAAGGTACATTTGACTGACAGGGTGTTTTTAACGACTGTTTCGTAAAAATTAGGGCGTGGCACTCAAAAATTTAAACCTCCCACTTTTTCATTCCAAAAACTTGGCAACCCTAGTTCAGCTTTGGTTTGGCTTGGATGCTAGATGATGATGAATATTATCCTCTTAAAAATATATTTATAATAAGCAATTGTCAGGAATGATTTTCACCTCAAATACATGTTCAAAGCGGAAGAAAATTAAAATATTATCACCTAACCTAACAAACAAATGTTAGAAATTGAAAACAAACCGAAAAAAACAAACTTTTTGATCGGTAAATTCGGTTGACAGTTGGGACCGAATTTTTCAGGAACCGCGTTTCATAACCTAACCAGATTTCAGGAGTGTTTAGGTTACGGAACGGGAACCAAAAAAACCAAGAATCTTGGTTAACTTACGGCACGTCGCCTTGTTATGACGTCGGCAATGGTTGAAAACCAATATGTTGGCGATTACCAAAAACGAGGCCGATAAGCACTCCTTAGAGTGTGTATTCTCCTTGACCTTGCTCTAACCGTGCGTTCGTTATTTTGGTCTGAGTTCTCCGAGCTTGACTTTACCGTTCGTTTATTTAAAAAGTGTACTCGGTGCAGCCTCATTCGCGTTCGTTTATTAAAATTTCCGGTACTTTTATACAGCGTTCAACTGCTCCGTTCGCTCGCTGGTCACGTGATTACGGCTCCGCTCAGCTCGCTCTACACTTTGAGCAAAATACCGAACGCAAGGTTAGGGTTCAATAAACCGGTAGCTGTCAAAAAATTCCAATAAAAGTTATTAGTTCAAGTCCGGTTACAAGATTCTGGTGCATTTTGGAACACTTTGGAGGTGTTGCTTGTTGTTTGGAATGTACTTATGGTGGTTTGATGTGGGATGGAGTGAGGTTGCCAATTTTAGTCATAAAATAAACCAAAGAGAATCACCACCTTTTGTTTGTACATGATATTTAGGAACACCCTGTATATAAAGAAAGCGCTTTCCACTTCCACCGTCTTCTTTTTTATTCACTTTACTGACAGATGAACCGTAGTCAGCTAAATTCACGTGTAATGTAATGGCATGTGTAGTGTCAAATAAAACGTAATTTTCAGTTTTCATTAAAAAAAATAAAATAAAATCAAAAACCAAGTGCAACATGTCTGATTGGGATACAGTGACCGTCTTAAAAAAGCGGGCCCCAAAGGCTTCGGTAATGAAAACCGAACAGGCCGTCAACGCTGCGAGGCGACAGGGTATCGCGGTGGACACACAACTAAAATGTGAGTTCTAGATCTTTCTAGTTTAGCAGTTGATATCGTTGTCGGTTTCAGGGGGTGCCTCCAGTAATAAACAACACGTAACGACCAAAAACACAGCGAAATTGGACAGGGAAACTGAAGAGCTGAAACACGAATCCATTCCTTTGGACGTGGGCAAACTGATCCAGCAAGGCCGGCAAGGCAAAGGCATGAGCCAAAAAGATCTGGCCACGAAAATAAATGAAAAACCTCAAGTTATCACTGATTATGAGGCCGGCAAAGGAATTCCCAATAACATCATCCTGGGAAAAATTGAAAGGGCCATTGGCTTAAAATTGAGAGGCAAAGATAAGGGCAAACCACTACTACCCCCTGGGAACAAGAATTAGGGCACCTAGGGGGTATGGTTTGTTGCATCAATTTATATTATCTACATTAATTTTTTGTCAATTTTCTTAGAATACATAAAATTGACACTGCTCTACTTTTAGGTGTTTGCATTTATTGAATAAAAACACTATCTCACTCTTCATTTTTGTTTTATAATCAAAAGGATAATTAAAATTAATATTAATGCAAAGTTGAAAGTTGTTTATAATTATTGATTTCAATAAATGGTCTACTACTAACTAATATTTTATTTTTATTTTCACAAATACAAATATAAAATGTAGTAGGGGCATTTATTACTTTAATCCATTATACATAAGTTAATATAAAATGATAACTGTTTAATCCTTCCTTAATTGGAAAGTTTCTTCCTTAATTCCATCTTTAGTAATGATATTTATTAAAATACTATCCCCAGTGTAAATATCTCTTTCAGCAGCTGAAATAAACACATCTTTAATGATGGACAAAGCTCTCTGTTGCGAAACCGGTTCTTCTTTCACATTCAACATGTTCTTCTTGCCAATTTGATTATCCAAAAGTGGTTGCAATAGAGCACCCGCAGATCCTCCAGCTCTGTGAGTTCTTTTTTCGCAATGACCAATAGGATCGTAACTGTAAACCACCCCTTTTCCATCATTATCCAAACCAACTAATACATTGGAAATGTAATAGGGAAAGAACCTTTTGTAATAGAGCATAGTGGAGAGCATTTGGGCGCAGGCAGTAGTAGACATTGTTTTGTTGTGCTCCTGCTGGTACATTTGCATGCGAGACTTCAAAATCCTGGTCAAAGTGAGGGTGTCGCACCAGCACCCAGAACAGCCCAAGACCGTGGTACTGGACAATGGGAACAATTTGTTTTGTTCGCGAGTGTAAATCGAAAACCCGGCACTCAGACGCGTGTCGGCTCCGATTATAACGAAGTCGTCGCCTGCTATTGCCACAACACTCCTAAGAAGAAATTAAATTTAATACAGAGGATTGATAGCTTGTGTAAACTTACCCGCCATTGTCAGCGTAGGGATTAAATCCGCGTTGTACGGGAGCAGTTTGATAATCAGGAAAGTTTGGTTTCACGACGAGAGACATTTTCGTTGATTTATAAGAAGCTAAAGTTTTTTTTTTCGGTATATACCTACAAATTAAAATCAGGCAGGGGAATGACAAACAAAAATAATTTTTAGCGCCTGGTTGTCAGTTGTCATACTGTCATCCATGTCATACTGACAACTGACATTACTTTTTACTAGAGCCGCTTTCCAAGCTGGGCCAAGTTCAGAAATACCGCACAGGGTGCGAGTGCGATTTTATGGGTGTGCCTGAATTGACAATTGGCCATTGGGCCTATAGCACCGTCTAGCATTTTTGAACAGCTAGGGCGTCGCACCGATGTCACACTCACACTGGGTGTGTCATTCCTGAACTCGCCCCTGTGTGCTTCAAGCACGGTGCAGCACAACGCAAAAGTTAGCAGCTCTCGAAGCGCAGTACGGCTGTAACACAAACACGCGCTTGAAGCATTTGCGCGCGCAAAAGCTCGATTGCGTACTCAAAAGCGTCAGCTGGAAAGCTGCTAAAAATTAAGGTCTGCTAGTGACGTCATAGCCGTAGAAGCCGCGTAAATTATTACCATATTTACAGATATCTTTACTGAATGGCTTCAGGTTTATTTAATAGATGTCGCTAGTAGTAGTTTGCTTTAACTCAAATTTGAGGTTATGTTATTTTGTCATGTTGAATTTTGTAAACAAAAAACAACCCTTTTAAAAAATTAAATATTTAATCGTTTCACTATGAAAATCGACTAATTTCGATTCAAATTAGTCATGTTTTCGATTTGCAAACAAAGTCATCCCCCTACCGGAGTGGAGCATGCCCTCAGCTGCTTTTTCTTCAATAAAACCGAAAAAAGTCTCGTTACTGCTGGGACAAACGTTATTAAAGTGTTCCGGTTGATTCCTGATGTCGATCAGAAAGCAAAGCATGAAAGATATTCAGGTAAGAAATCCTTTTGATCCTAATGTCCAATTTTCGACCGGACCATTACATTTTTGAAAGCAGCTTCTGTGTGTCTTCTGTTTCTATGTTTACCCCAGAGTTATCCTTAACCCAGGGATGACTCGCTATTGAGAAACAGACCCCATAATGCTGCACACAATAAGGACTATTTATTAGGGTACCTGCTGTTAAATGAATAAATATACATGCCACTGGAGTAATGTTCCCCATTTTAAGAAAAAAACTTCATATTAACGAACTTAATGTTTTTGAATGTCTCTTCCTCTTGGGATACAGGGTGTTTCAAAAATAAATCCTGTTATTGGCAGTCATGTTGGTATGCCACTGATTTCACAATCAGACTCATAGTTTTCACCTAAAAATTATTTTTAGAAAAATCAGTAGCGCACCATCTATGTCTGCCAAAATAGGCAGTTCAAATTCTGTACCTACCAACGCTATAGTTATCTGCTAAAAGTTGAATGTTACTTTTATCAAATCCAGTCAAGAAATTGAAAAAAATCAAATATCTACAGTCCTTACAATCTCAAAATATAAAGGAATACACTTGGGAATAAATACATAAAAATACATAGAAATACATGAGCAAGGGGCAAACCACTTAGGAATTCTTTGCCAAAAATGTGGAGAATTTAGAGGAATTTGAAGGAACTCATCAAAATTTATGAGAATTTGGAGAATTTATAGGGAATTTGGAGGAATTTATGAGGAATTTGTGAGGAATTTATGAGGAATTTAAAGCAAATTGTCAAATTTAAAAAATTTAAAAGAATAATGAATTAATGAATACAGTTTTTGTAGGCTGATTTTCAAGATTTTTCATGTTATTATTTTCCACTGAAAAAATTTGAAATTTTGGGAAAATGAGCTTCTCACCTTCCTCTCTACATGCAAAAAGTTTCAAAATTTTTCCTTCACCAGTTTTCCAGAAAAACTTTGAAATATGTGAGACTGTATTTTCAATTAATTCAGTTATTGTAGGTTGATTTCCAAGATTCCTCATATTGTAATTTTCTACTGAAAAAATTTGAAATTTTAGGAAAATGTGCTTCTCACCTTCCTCTTTACAAACAAAAAGTTTCAAAATTTTCCCTTCATTAGTTTTCCAGGAAAACTTTGAAATGTGTGAGACTGTATTTTTCACTAATTCAGTTTCTATAGGTTGATTTTCAAGATTTTTCATGTTGCTGTTTTCTACTGGAAAAATTTGAAGTTTTGGGAAAATGAGTTTCTCACCTTCTTCTTTACATGCAAAAAGTTTCAAAATTTTCTCTTCACTAGTTTTCCAGGAAAACTTTGAAATATGTGAGACTGTATTTTCAACTAATTCAGTTATTGTAGGTTGATTTCCAATATTCCTTATGTTGTTTTTTTCTACTGGAAAAATTTGAAGTTTTGGGAAAATGAGTTTCTCACTTTCTTCTTTACATGCAAAAAGTTTCAAAATTTTCCCTTCACTAGTTTTCCAGGAAAACTTTGAAATATGTGAGATTGTATTTTCATTTAATTCAGTTATTGTAGGTTGATTTCCAAGATTCCTCATGTTGTAATTTTCTACTGAAAAAATTTGAAATTTTATGAAAATGAGCTTTTCACCTTCTTCTTTACAAGCAAAAAGTTTCAAAATTTTCCCTTCATTAGTTTTCCAGGAAAACTTTGAAATGTGTGAGACTGTATTTTCAATTAATTCAGTAGTTATTGTAGGTTGATTTCCAATATTCCTCATGTTGGTATTTTCCACTGGAAAAATTTGAAATTTTGGGAAAATGAGTTTCTCACCTTCTTCTTTACATGCAAAAAGTTTCAAAATTCTCTCTTCACTAGTTTTCCAGGAAAACTTTGAAATATGTGAAACTGTATTTTCAACTAATTCAGTTATTGTAGGTTGATTTCCAATATTCCTTATGTTGTTATTTTGCACTGGAAAAATTTGAAATTTTGGGAAAATGAGCTTCTCAGCTTCCGCTTTACATGCAAAAAGTTCCAAAATTTTCCCTTCACTAGTTTTCCAGGAAAACTTTGAAATGTGTGAGACTGTATTTTCAACAAATTTAGTTTTTGTAGGTTGATTTCCAAGATTTTTCATGTTGCTGTTTTCCACTGGAAAATTTTGAAATTTTGGGAAAATGAACTTTTCACCTTTCTCTTTAAATGTAAAAAGTTTCAAAATTTTTCCTTCACCAGTTTTCCAGGAAAACTTTGAAATATGTGATACTGTACTTTCAAACAATTCAGTCATAGTAGGTTGATTTCCAATATTCCTTGTGTTGTTTTTTTCTACTGGAAAAATTTGAAATTTTGGGAAAATGAGCTTCTCACCTTCCTCTTTACATGCAAAAAATTTCAAAATTTTCTCTCCACTAGTTTTCTAGGAAAACTTTGAAATATATGATACTCGACGGGTGAATCACTCCCCGAAATCGTGTCACAAATTCGTCCTAAATTCCCGAAATCTTTCCGAAATCTTACTGAAATCCCCGTAATTCACGAAATCACTCCGAAATCTGCCGAAATCCTTCCGAAATCTCTCAGTAATCTTTCCGCAGACCCAAAAATACTTCACAATTGGCCCAAAATTCCTAAATCGGTCAACGCAGCCGTTTTTCAGTTTATACTAATACACTTTCGAATATACTTATAAAATAGGTAACAGTCTAGTCTAACTAAAATCAAATTAAAATATTTGCGAAATCACCTGAAATTCTCCGAAATCACCCGAAATCCTTCGAAATCACCCGATACCGTTTGAAATCAACCGAAATCCCTCAAAATCGCTCTAAATCTGAAATCTTGTCACAGTGAATAAAGCCTCAAAATCTTTCCGAACTCGTTTCCAAAATCCTACCGAAATCCCTCAAAATCGCTCTAAATCCGAAACTTTGTCACATTTTTCCCTTAGTGAATAACCCCTCGATGATACTGTTTTTTTAATTAATTTAGTTATTGTAGGTTGATTTCCAATATTCCTCATGTTGTTATTTTCCACTGGAAAAATTTGAAATTTTAAGAAAATGATCTTCTCACCTTCCTCTTTACATGCAAAAAGTTTAAAAAATGTCCCTTTTTTTAGAGGAATTTGTGGGGTATTTGGAAAAGTTCGTGGTGGGGTATTTGGAGGTATTTGTGATGGGGTATCTGGAGGAATTTGCAGGAATTTTGATGAATTATGCGTAAAAAATTCCCCTTTGAGGAATTGTTTGCACCAATTCTGGAACGGAGGTTTAACCCTTGTACCTGAGATACGAAGGAATACATAAGAATACATATAGGGTGGTGGTCAATGATGATAGTTCGTTACTACACTTGTTGATAAACAATGATTAATCAAACTATTCCTTAAGTACTCATCTAGTTTAAGTCTGAGACCATCAAATCTATAAGTTACTTTAATTTAATAATTTTTGCCTACCTAACCAATTAAATCATTGTTCCAGAAATCTTCCCTCCAAAATCCAAACTGGAATGCCTGGCTCAGTATCAACTTTTTGGCAATATTATGTCCATGCAAAGTGTCACTTTGGCTAATTCGGCTAGGGACTCTTTACTAGTGGCCTTTTCTGATGCCAAATTGTCTGTGGTAGAATACGATCCAGAGAATCATGAACTTAAAACTTTGAGTTTGCATTATTTTGAAGATGAGGACATGAAGGTAAGGAATTTATTTGTTTCACAAAGGATTTTAACTTTGAAACTTTTACTTCCCATATTTTTGAATTAATTTAAATAAAAACAGTATTTTTAGTGTATTTTATTTAGTAATAAGAATTTATTATTGGATTTATATGCCCTTATATATTGAATTATTGTAAAAGGTACCTACATTTTCAATTGAATTAGGATGGTTGGACTCATTTTCCTCACGTTCCTATTGTGAGAGCAGATCCAGAAAATCGTTGTGCTGTAATGACCATATTTGGTAGGAAACTTGTTGTGTTGCCATTCAGGCGTGATTCGTCCATTGACGATGGAGATTCGGACATAAAACCGATGCTAAGTTCAACAGGTTCGGGCAAAAATCCTATTTTAGCCTCCTACATGATTGTAATGAAGGATTTTATTGATAAAATTGACAATATTATCGATATACAGTTTTTGCATGGGTATTATGAGCCTACTTTGTTGATACTTTATGAACCTTTGAAGACTTTTTCAGGGTAAGTTTGATTTTCGTGTATAAGCCACAATATTACATGCTTATTTTAGACGTACAGCGGTGAGAATGGATACATGTGCAATGGCTGCAATTTCCTTGAATTTACAGCAAAAAGTACACCCTATTATATGGAGTGTTTCAAATTTGCCTTTTGATTGCTTGAGAGCGGTTTCGATTAAAAAACCACTTGGCGGTACTTTAATCTTTGCAGTAAATTCTCTAATTTATCTCAATCAGAGTATACCGCCTTATGGAGTGGCAGTTAATAGTATAGCTGAATCTTCTTCAAATTTTCCCCTAAGTGAGTAACTTTGCTTTGTTTATTTGTGAATAATCTTAATTGATTGAAATTATGTAATAGAGCCGCAAGAAGATGTAAAAATCAGTTTTGATTGTGCACAAATGGGTTTTCTGGATGATGACACCTTGGTCTTATCCCTAAAAGGAGGTGAATTATATGTCCTCACCTTACTAGCTGATAGTATGCGTTATGTGAGGAATTTCCATTTTGAAAAAGCGGCCGCCAGTGTCTTAACAACTTCAGTAAGTAGTTTTTAATCAACAACAAACAATTATTATTATTATTACGCTTTTAGGTTTGCATTTGTGAAAACAATTTCCTTTTTTTGGGCTCCAGATTAGGAAACTCGTTATTGCTACGTTTCACTGAAAAAGCTAACGAAGTCATAATAACTATAGATGATGAGCCTACTACTAAAAAAATTAAAAAAGACCCCGGAGATATAATATCAGATGAGCTAACAGACTTTATTGCAAGTGACGTAATGGACATTAGAGATCCAGAAGAATTGGAAGTATACGGTAACCAAACACAAGCTGGAGTCCAAATAACCAACTACATTTTCGAAGTGTGCGATTCCTTGTTGAATATCGGCCCTTGTGGACAAATTTCTGTGGGCGAACCTGCCTTTTTAAGTGAAGAATTTTGCAATAATCCTGATCTTAACTTAGAGCTAGTAACCACCGCAGGCTATGGTAAAAACGGCGCTTTATGCGTCCTGCAACGCTCTATAAAACCGCAAATCGTTACCACTTTCACTTTGCCTGGCTGCTTCAACATGTGGACTGTGAAAAGCGGCGAAGATCGACACGCTTTTTTGATTTTGAGCCAAGAAGATAGCACGATGGTGTTGCAAACGGGCCGGGAAATTAACGAAATTGATAATACAGGGTTTGCTACGCACCAACCGACGGTTTTTGCCGGAAATTTGGGCAATAACAAATTTGTGGTGCAAGTTACCACCATATCTGTGAGGCTGTTGCAAGGAGCTGTTCAGTTGCAACATGTTCCAATGGATTTAGGCTCACCAATTGTACATGCTTCTAGGTAACATAAGTTAGCTTAATTAGGGATTTTATTAATTGTTTTATTTTTAGTGCTGATCCGTATATTTCCTTGCTCACTTTTGATGGGCAAGTGATTACTCTTATGTTGAGAGAAACCAGAGGATCTGCTAAGTTGGTTATTAGTAAATCGACTTTGTCAAATGTATGTAGTGTGATTTTTGTGGCGATTCAATTTAATTAAAAAATTTGTTTAACTTGCAGAATCCCCCTGTTGCAGCCATTTGTATGTACAAAGACACCTCTGGTATATTCACTAATAAAATCCCAGAACAATTCACTCAAGTCCCTCATCACTACATAGCTGACATCTCAGACATGAAAACCGAAACAGAAAATGAAGACGATCTTTTATATGGAGACAATGACTTTAAAATGCCCTCTTTAGCTAATCCTGCACCAAAACCTAAAGTTTTCCACAACTGGTGGAGAAAGTATTTTGTTAACAAGAAACCAACTTTCTGGTTGTTTGTGGTACGGGCAAATTCTAGCTTGGAAATTTATTCGATTCCGGATTTCAAGATGAGTTTTTACGTACAAAACTTATGTTTCGGCCATAAGGTTTTAATTGACGCTTTGGAATCGGTTATAATGAATGCTACAATGCATGTTAATGAGACCCAGATTCAAGAGGAATATCAAGTCAAGGAAATTTCTATGGTAAGAACTACAGCTTTTAAAAATGTAGAATTAAACATTATAATTTCAGGTTGGTATGGGTACAAATGGAACCAGACCACTTCTCTACGTTAGATTGGACAAAGCCCTTTACATATATGAAGTGTTCAGATACCACAAGGGAAATTTGAAGCTTAGATTTCGCAAAATCAAGCACGACATCATGTATCAGCCCAACGTTGGCGGAATTGTCACTAGTATATCAGAAAATTCTGATTTATCAATTCTGCAAGACCGCATTTCGAGGATTAAATATTTTGACAATGTCGCAGGCTATAATGGTGTGTTTATATGTGGCGCGAGTCCTTATTGGATGTTTTTGACTAAGCGTGGCGAATTAAGATCTCATCCAATGGTCATTGATGGAGAAGTAACTAATTTTGCTGCATTCAACAATGTTAATTGCCCAGACGGATTGTTGTATTTTAATAAAAAAGTAACTACACTTTTATTTTAAATTATTTTTTATTAAACTAGATTCTTTTTTAGTCTGAACTTAGAATAGGAATGCTTCCGACTCATTTAAGCTACGACGCCCCCTGGCCAGTAAGAAAAGTCCCACTACGTTGCACCCCTCACTTTGTCACCTACAATTTAGAATCAAAAACTTATTGTTTGGTTACTAGTTTAAGTGAACCGTCAAACTCCTACTATAGATTCAATGGAGAAGACAAAGAGTTAACCATAGAAGATAGAGGAGACCGTTTTCCGTATCCTCACCAAGAAAAATTCAGCCTAATGCTCTTCTCTCCAGTATCCTGGGACATTATTCCCAACACCAAAATTGATTTGGACGAATGGGAACACGTTACTTGCTTGAGGAATGTGTCTCTGGAATACGAAGGTGCCAGGTCTGGATTGAAGGGCTATATTGCAGTGGGTACCAATTATAATTACGGAGAGGACATAACTTCAAGAGGCAGGATTTTGATTTACGATATTATTGAAGTGGTTCCGGAACCTGGACAACCTTTGACTAAAAATAAATTCAAGGAAATTTATGCCAAGGAGCAAAAAGGGCCTGTGACTGCTTTGTCACAAGTTAAAGGATTTTTGATATCTGCTGTTGGTCAAAAAGTAGTTTTTGATTCTTGGTAAATTGAACAAAAGTTAATATAAATTGTTTTCAGATTTATATATGGCAATTAAAAGACAACGATCTTATTGGTGTGGCTTTTATTGATACTCAAGTTTACACTCATCAAATTTTAACAATTAAAAATCTTATATTAATAGGAGATGTTTATCAGTCAATTTCGTTGCTGAGATTTCAAGAAGAGTACAGGACTTTGTCAATGGTTTCAAGGGTGAGATTTTTCCAAAAGAATTTTTGTTATTTTTATATGCCTTTTTCTAGGATTTGAGAAACTGCGAAGTTTACTCAATTGAATATATGATCGATAATAGCAACATGGGCTTTTTAATTTCGGACAAAGAAAAGAATTTGTCAATTTGTATGTACCAGCCTGAAGCCAGGGAATCCTTAGGAGGTAAATTTTATTAAATTTAATAATCTGTTATTGTAAATGGCTGTTTCTCTAGGCTATAGACTATTGAAAAAGGCAGATTTTCATTTGGGGCAAGCAATCAGCACTTTTTTTAGGATAAAATGTAAAATGGGTGAGCTTGCAGAAGAAAAAAAGCAAATGAGCGGAGCTGATAGAAGACATATAACCATGTATGGTAAGTATCCTAAATAAACTCACTAAGAATTGGATTTTAAGAGTTTATTTGCAGCTACACTAGATGGAGCTTTGGGATATATTATGCCAGTCCCAGAAAAAACTTATAGAAGACTACTCATGTTGCAAAATGTTTTGGTAACGCACGGAGCTCACGTTGCAGGCCTAAATCCCAAAGCTTACAGAACAATTAAGAGTGGATTTAAATCCCTATCCAATCCTACCAGAGGTATTATTGATGGAGAGCTAGTGTGGAATTTTATACAGCTTTCTATTACTGAAAAAATCGAGGTAAGCAACACAAGTCCTTGTGTTTAAGATTATATATTCAATGGTTTTGCAGATATCCAAAAAAATTGGCACAAAACTAGACGAGTTGCAAGAGGATTTGAATGACATTCAAAAGTTAACAAACCATTTCTAATGTGTTAATAAAACATTTTTTTTTTAAATTGGATTTACAATTTATTTACAATTAACATCAAATATACAGACATAAAAAAAAAATATTATACATTATTACACAAGAACAACATAAAGCTTGAATTTATAAGGGCCATATTCTCGGTAGTTCATAAAGCCTGGCTTAGTGGAAAAACTCGGCTTTGTCACATAAAAAGCCAAGCGGAGAATATGGCCCTTAGAGCATTAATTATTTGGTTTTCGAACGCTCCTATTCTACTGATTAACATCTAATGCCACATCAAAATACAACTCAGGACACAAAGTTCTTCCTTTAATTATCAATTAGTAAAGATGAGTATTTCAAATTCCATTTTTGACAATATTGAAGCAACTTTACAATATAATATTAGTGCATTTTTTTTTTTTTTTTGGCTCTTATAGGAAGACCTACTTTTGCAAGTAAAAAATTAATTATTGCACATATTAGCATGGATGGCCTTTTGTTACCCTTAAGTGGTGTTTAAAAAAATAAATTAGTTTTTGTTTTTTGAGGAAAAATTGGGGCAATTTTTGTGTTTTCAAAAAATCGCACAATTTTTCCTGGTAAAGGATTAAGAAATTACACAATTAGTGTCCTTAGCTGGAAGTTCTATGTGAGAGAGATCTTTTTCAATGATTTCATCATCTTCAATACTAAAAAAGTAATAACATATATGGTTTTTTATTTAGGTTCCACTTGAATACTTACGCTTTTTCTTGACTATCCAAATGATGTACCAATTCGTCTCTTTTATTCACAATTTGAACTAGTTCGTCTAATAAAGCTTGCTCCCTATCCCTTTGCTCTTCTGTCTTTTTCCAATCCTCTATAGACGCAATCTGCCTTAGCTCGTCATTTAACATCTTATATCGAGTCTCATAATCAGCTTCTTTTTCTCTAAAGTGTAAAATAGTATATTATATACCTAGGTAGAGAAGTTGGTCATTATAAACCGAGGCGCAAAGCGTGTGTGAGGTATATAATGACTTTCTCTACCGAGGGATATATAGAATTTTTTTTACTACTGCTAGTAGAAAATAAAAAATTTGCTTAAAATCTGTGCTCTAATTATTTTTTTTTTTTAATGCCCTCTTGAAACTGCTGCCCTCTATCAACAGCTTATGATAACTTCCTATGTACCATCGTCACCAAAAGTATCTGGGACACAAATAATGCATAATAATCTCCTGGACTAATTCTACTGTCATTCATTTCAATGCATTTAATTCATAGTTTGACAATAAAATTCATATAATAGGACAAGAGCTATGTGAAGCTGTCCCAGTTACTTTTGGTGACGATGGTACCTACAGAAACCTGTATTTTTTTTTTTAAATTGACGCATAAAATTGAAATTGAACCAATAGAAACATGACAATATCCTTGCGTCGTGACGTCATTTTCATTATTGACCTATGTATTTTTTCATTATTTTCATTATTCACCTAGGGAGAGAAATTCAATTTTTTCCTAGAAAAATAGATTGAATAATGACTATTTCTCAGGTTAGTAGTAAAAAAAAATAGTTATTTATTATACAACGGAAAAAAGTACTAGATGGTGTGGTGTGGAAAAAAAAATCACTTTCTTCCCATGGGAGAAAAAGTGACATTTTTGCCCCTGTCAACAGGTACAAAAAGTCTACTTTTTTCCCGTCACAGAAAAATAGTTTATTTTACAAGGAAAAAAAGTACTAAATTTTAACGCGAGGTGTGGTTTGTCTCCCGACAACACAACGAACACTAAAATCTTACTTTTTTCCCATGTATAATACACTATTTTTTTTCTGTGACGGGAAAATCTCACCATTTTCCATCTATATATTATTCTCTATGAGAAAAAAAATTGACTGGTACCTGTTACTTTTTTCCCTCAGGAAAAAAATTTGACTGGTACCTGCTACTTTTTTCCTGTGGGAAAAAAAAAATCACATTTTTCCCGAGGGAGAAAAAGTGACATTTTTGTCACTGTCAACAGGTACAAAAAGTCTACTTTTTTCCTGTCACAGAAAAAATAGTTATTTATTATACAAGGGAAAAAAGTACTAGATTTTAGCGCGAGGCTAAAATCTTACTTTTCTCTCATGTATAATACACAATTTCTTTCTGTGACGGGAAAATCTCAACATTTTCCATCTATACATTATTCCCTTTGACTGGTACCTGTTACTTTTTTCCCGTGGGAAAAAAAAATCATTTATTTCCCATGGGAGAAAAAGTGACATTTTTGCCCATGTCAACAGGTACAAAAAGTCTACTTTTTTCCCGTCACAGAAAAAAATAACTTTTACTACTTAATACAAAATTAAATACATACAAAATATTTAGTTGCATTTGTCTTCTTAATAGTGCATTCTTTTTATTGACCAACATAAACCATTTGGCCATCAGTGCCTCTTCTTCTCCATTACTGTTTCCAGAGTCCATTGTTAGCCGTAGCTGTTTTTCCAAGATGGCAGCCTGTTCATCTATGGCACACTGTTCCCGTTCCAAATCTTCCATTTCTTTGTCTATCCATGAATGGACATCAATGCCCATCTAAAATTATTAGATTTTAGTTTTAGACAATATTTTGTACTAAATAAAGAAGTTTTTACTTCTTTTAAACCTAAATCCTCTGGCAATTTATCAGGCGTTATCCTATCTAGACTATCAGTAGGACTATATTTGTTTGAGTATTCTTCTAGTTTCGAGTATAAGTTTCCATTTTTTTCTGATCCTGAAAAATATTGTCAAATACAACAAAAAAAACCTATAGCTCAAATATTACCCTGTTCAATAATATTATTCTCTTCCAATTTCTCCTCAATTTCAGAATAATTAATTGAATCAGGAGTAACTCTAATAATTTCCGTAGTGGGACCAGAACCGCGTCTAGCTTGGGCCAGCAACTGCCTCGCTCTATCTCGAAGCTCATTCTGCCTATCTTCTTCAGTCTTAAAAAAAAATTAACTTAAAAAATAAACCCTCCATAGTCGAAAAACGTACCCTGCTTGGTGACGTAGGAGTGGAACTGTTTCTTTTGGCCTGCTCCAGCAACATTTTGGCTCTCATTTGTTGCTCAGAGTGACGCATCAGAATTTGCTGCATAATACGATTGAAAAACATTTTAATTCTCAACCAAACCTTTATACACAATCATTGATTGTTTTTAATTGATAATTTTTGACTCTTTTGGGACCCTTTTTACTTACCACATTTGGTTTAGGAAGATCAGCAAAAACATCTCCTTGAGATTTGTCATTTTCAACAATACCATTCGAGTTATTTATTGGTGCGTCTTCTTCATCATCTGAACCAAAAGGATCAGTAAGCTCTCTTCTGGTCATCAAAATAGGTTTAGTTGGTGATTTCTCCTTATAAGGCAAAGGTTCTGTAGTACATTTTAACTGCAATTTAAGTTTCGACGCATCTCCTTTGCCCTCCCTAATAATTTCTCGCTCTGTTGATTTTCTTGTTTGTTTAGCTTTTCTCAAATTAATAATCTCCTGACCGAAAACTTGTTTAGTAATATCAGTATCCTTGTCAGTATTGAATTTGCCAATTACGTAATTGCTCTCTTCTGCAGTTCGCCCAATTTGTTGCACTTCCAATTGGTGCCCGGTAAAGTGGGCGCGCAACTGATGCAAATACGTCATCACTGCTAGTTTATCGGGTACGGCCAACATGTGCATGTCAGAGGGTTCGATTACTCTGGGTATTCCTAGTTTATCGCCAGCGTCAAAGGCTATTTTGCAATTTGCTTTGATGTCGTGAGGTGACAACGAATCAAAGTTACTAAATAGAAGTATTTGTGAATTTTTCTCAAGGGGTTTTTGGAGTATACTTACATAAATTCTGGTTTGAAATGATGAATCAGAGCACAAAAGGCCATACCGTTTCTCCAGCTGGTTGTCAAATTTGTAACTTTTACTCCTGGGTAGTCTTTTGTCATTTCTTTGCACCATTCTAATAAATCTTGACCTAGAAATTTACAAATAATAGTTTCTCATATTTGAGCATAATTGTATAAATATTTATTTTTTACGTAAATTGTCAAAATATGAATGAATGTCATATTTAGGCTTATGGTGGAAATATTCATCTATCTTGTAACTTTGTAATTTTTCACTCAATTGATTTGAATTTTTAGTACATTTTGCCTCTAAGCCTCAAAAATATTTCCTCAAAATCTCATATTTGCACCTCTAGTAGTTTTTGAATAAATGGTCAAAAAGTGGAGGAATGTCATATTTAGCCTTATAGAAAAAAATGTCCATTTTTAAAAATCTTGTAACTTTGTAATTTCTTGCTCAATTGATTTGAATTTTTAGTATGTTTTGCCTCAAAGCCTCAAAAATGTTGCCTCAAAATCTCATATGTGCACTTCGAGTAGTTTTTGAATAAATGGTCAAGAGGTGGAGGAATGTCATATTTAGCCTAATAGAAAAAAATGTCCATTTTTAAAAATCTTGTAACTTTGTAATTTCCTACTCAATTGATTGGAATTTTTAGTATGTTTTGCCTCAAAGCCTCCAAATGTTGCCTCAAAATCTCATTTGTGCACCTCCAGTAGTTTTTGAATAAATGGTCAAGAGGTGGAGGAATGTCATATTTAGCCTTATAGAAAAAAATGTCCATTTTTAAAAATCTTGTAACTTTGTAATTTCTTGCTCAATTGATTTGAATTTTTAGTATATTTTGCCTCAAAGCCTCAAAAATGTTGCCTCAAAATCTCATATGTGCACTTCCAGTAGTTTTTGAATAAATGGTCAAGAGGTGGAGGAATGTCATATTTAGCCTAATAGAAAAAAATGTCCATTTTTAAAAATCTTGTAACTTTGTAATTTCTTGCTCAATTGATTTGAATTTTTAGTATGTTTTGCCTCAAAGCCTCAAAAATGTTGCCTCAAAATCTCATATGTGCACTTCCAGTAGTTTTTGAATAAATGGTCAAGAGGTGGAGGAATGTCATATTTAGCATTATAGAAAAAAAATGTCCATTTTTAAAAATCTTGTAACTTTGTAATTTCCTACTCAATTGATTGGAATTTTTAGTATGTTTTGCCTCAAAGCCTCAAAAATGTTGCCTCAAAATGTCATATGTGCACCTCCAGTAGTTTTTGAATAAATGGTCAAGAGGTGGAGGAATGTCATATTTAGCCTTATAGAAAAAAATGTCCATTTTTAAAAATCTTGTAACTTTGTAATTTCTTGCTCAATTGATTTGAATTTTTAGTATGTTTTGCCTCAAAGCTTCAAAAATGTTGCCTCAAAATCTCATATGTGCACCTCCAGTAGTTTTTGAATAAATGGTCAAGAGGTGGAGGCATGTCATATTTTGCCTTATAGAAAAAATGTCCATTTTTAAAAATCTTGTAACTTTGTAATTTCTTGCTCAATTGATTTGAATTTTTAGTATGTTTTGCCTCAAAGCCTCAAAAATGTTGCCTCAAAATCTCATATGTGCACCTCCAGTAATTTTTGAATAAATGGTCAAGAGGTGGAGGAATGTCATATTTAGTCTTATAGAAAAAAATGTCCATTTTTAAAAATCTTGTAACTTTGTAATTTCTTGCTCAATTGATTTGAATTTTTAGTATGTTTTGCCTCAAAGCCTCAAAAATGTTGCCTCAAAATGTCATATGTGCACCTCCAGTAGTTTTTGAATAAATGGTCAAGAGGTGGAGGAATGTCATATTTAGCCTAATAGAAAAAAATGTCCATTTTTAAAAATCTTGTAACTTTGTAATTTCTTGCTCAATTGATTTGAATTTTTAGTATGTTTTGCCTCAAAGCCTCAAAAATGTTGCCTCAAAATCTCATATGTGCACTTCCAGTAGTTTTTGAATAAATGGTCAAGAGGTGGAGGAATGTCATATTTTGCCTTATAGAAAAAAATGTCCATTTTTAAAAATCTTGTAACTTTGTAATTTCTTGCTCAATTGATTTGAATTTTTAGTATATTTTGCCTCAAAGCCTCAAAAATGTTGCCTCAAAATCTCATATGTGCACCTCCAGTAGTTTTTGAATAAATGGTCAAGAGGTGGAGGCATGTCATATTTTGCCTTATAGAAAAAATGTCCATTTTTAAAAATCTAGTAACTTTGTAATTTCTTGCTCAATTGATTTGAATTTTTAGTATGTTTTGCCTCAAAGCCTCAAAAATGTTGCCTCAAAATCTCATATGTGCACTTCCAGTAGTTTTTGAATAAATGGTCAAGAGGTGGAGGAATGTCATATTTTGCCTTATAGAAAAAAATGTCCATTTTTAAAAATCTTGTAACTTTGTAATTTCTTGCTCAATTGATTTGAATTTTTAGTATGTTTTGCCTCAAAGCCTCAAAAATGTTGCCTCAAAATCTCATATGTGCACCTCCAGTAGTTTTTGAATAAATGGTCAAGAGGTGGAGGCATGTCATATTTTGCCTTATAGAAAAAATGTCCATTTTTAAAAATCTTGTAACTTTGTAATTTCTTGCTCAATTGATTTGAATTTTTAGTATGTTTTGCCTCAAAGCCTCAAAAATGTTGCCTCAAAATCTCATATGTGCACTTCGAGTAGTTTTTGAATAAATGGTCAAGAGGTGGAGGAATGTCATATTTAGCCTAATAGAAAAAAATGTCCATTTTTAAAAATCTTGTAACTTTGTAATTTCTTGCTCAATTGATTTGAATTTTTAGTATGTTTTGCCTCAAAGCCTCAAAAATGTTGCCTCAAAATCTCATATGTGCACTTCCAGTAGTTTTTGAATAAATGGTCAAGAGGTGGAGGAATGTCATATTTTGCCTTATAGAAAAAAATGTCCATTTTTAAAAATCTTGTAACTTTGTAATTTCTTGCTCAATTGATTTGAATTTTTAGTATATTTTGCCTCAAAGCCTCAAAAATGTTGCCTCAAAATCTCATATGTGCACCTCCAGTAGTTTTTGAATAAATGGTCAAGAGGTGGAGGCATGTCATATTTTGCCTTATAGAAAAAATGTCCATTTTTAAAAATCTAGTAACTTTGTAATTTCTTGCTCAATTGATTTGAATTTTTAGTATGTTTTGCCTCAAAGCCTCAAAAATGTTGCCTCAAAATCTCATATGTGCACTTCCAGTAGTTTTTGAATAAATGGTCAAGAGGTGGAGGAATGTCATATTTTGCCTTATAGAAAAAAATGTCCATTTTTAAAAATCTTGTAACTTTGTAATTTCTTGCTCAATTGATTTGAATTTTTAGTATGTTTTGCCTCAAAGCCTCAAAAATGTTGCCTCAAAATCTCATATGTGCACTTCCAGTAGTTTTTGAATAAATGGTCAAGAGGTGGAGGAATGTCATATTTTGCCTTATAGAAAAAAATGTCCATTTTTAAAAATCTTGTAACTTTGTAATTTCTTGCTCAATTGATTTGAATTTTTAGTATGTTTTGCCTCAAAGCCTCAAAAATGTTGCCTCAAAATCTCATATGTGCACTTCCAGTAGTTTTTGAATAAATGGTCAAGAGGTGGAGGAATGTCATATTTTGCCTTATAGAAAAAAATGTCCATTTTTAAAAATCTTGTAACTTTGTAATTTCTTGCTCAATTGATTTGAATTTTTAGTATGTTTTGCCTCAAAGCCTCAAAAATGTTGCCTCAAAATCTCATATGTGCACCTCCAGTAGTTTTTGAATAAATGGTCAAGAGGTGGAGGAATGTCATATTTAGCCTTATAGAAAAAAATGTCCATTTTTAAAAATCTTGTAACTTTGTAATTTCTTGCTCAATTGATTTGAATTTTTAGTATGTTTTGCCTCAAAGCCTCAAAAATGTTGCCTCAAAATCTCATATGTGCACTTCCAGTAGTTTTTGAATAAATGGTCAAGAGGTGGAGGAATGTCATATTTAGCATTATAGAAAAAAAATGTCCATTTTTAAAAATCTTGTAACTTTGTAATTTCCTACTCAATTGATTGAAATTTTTAGTATGTTTTGCCTCAAAGCCTCAAAAATGTTGCCTCAAAATCTCATATGTGCACTTCCAGTAGTTTTTGAATAAATGGTCAAGAGGTGGAGGAATGTCATATTTAGCATTATAGAAAAAAAATGTCCATTTTTAAAAATCTTGTAACTTTGTAATTTCCTACTCAATTGATTGGAATTTTTAGTATGTTTTGCCTCAAAGCCTCAAAAATGTTGCCTCAAAATGTCATATGTGCACCTCCAGTAGTTTTTGAATAAATGGTCAAGAGGTGGAGGAATGTCATATTTAGCCTTATAGAAAAAAATGTCCATTTTTAAAAATCTTGTAACTTTGTAATTTCTTGCTCAATTGATTTGAATTTTTAGTATGTTTTGCCTCAAAGCTTCAAAAATGTTGCCTCAAAATCTCATATGTGCACCTCCAGTAGTTTTTGAATAAATGGTCAAGAGGTGGAGGAATGTCATATTTAGCCTTATAGAAAAAAATGTCCATTTTTAAAAATCTTGTAACTTTGTAATTTCCTACTCAATTGATTGGAATTTTTAGTATGTTTTGCCTCAAAGCCTCAAAAATGTTGCCTCAAAATGTCATATGTGCACCTCCAGTAGTTTTTGAATAAATGGTCAAGAGGTGGAGGAATGTCATATTTAGCCTTATAGAAAAAAATGACCATTTTTAAAAATCTTGTAACTTTGTAATTTCTTGCTCAATTGATTTGAATTTTTAGTATGTTTTGCCTCAAAGCTTCAAAAATGTTGCCTCAAAATCTCATATGTGCACCTCCAGTAGTTTTTGAATAAATGGTCAAGAGGTGGAGGCATGTCATATTTTGCCTTATAGAAAAAATGTCCATTTTTAAAAATCTTGTAACTTTGTAATTTCTTGCTCAATTGATTTGAATTTTTAGTATGTTTTGCCTCAAAGCCTCAAAAATGTTGCCTCAAAATCTCATATGTGCACCTCCAGTAGTTTTTGAATAAATGGTCAAGAGGTGGAGGAATATCATATTTAGCATTATAGAAAAAAATGTCCATTTTCAAAAATCTTGTAACTTTGTAATTTCTTGCTCAATTGATTTGAATTTTTAGTATGTTTTGCCTCAAAGCTTCAAAAATGTTGCCTCAAAATCTCATATGTGCACCTCCAGTAGTTTTTGAATAAATGGTCAAGAGGTGGAGGAATGTCATATTTTGCCTTATAGAAAAAAATGTCCATTTTTAAAAATCTTGTAACTTTGTAATTTCTTGCTCAATTGATTTGAATTTTTAGTATGTTTTGCCTCAAAGCCTCAAAAATGTTGCCTCAAAATCTCATATGTGCACCTCCAGTAGTTTTTGAATAAATGGTCAAGAGGTGGAGGCATGTCATATTTTGCCTTATAGAAAAAATGTCCATTTTTAAAAATCTTGTAACTTTGTAATTTCTTGCTCAATTGATTTGAATTTTTAGTATGTTTTGCCTCAAAGCCTCAAAAATGTTGCCTCAAAATCTCATATGTGCACCTCCAGTAGTTTTTGAATAAATGGTCAAGAGGTGGAGGAATGTCATATTTAGTCTAATAGAAAAAAATGTCCATTTTTAAAAATCTTGTAACTTTGTAATTTCCTACTCAATTGATTGGAATTTTTAGTATGTTTTGCCTCAAAGCCTCCAAATGTTGCCTCAAAATCTCATTTGTGCACCTCCAGTAGTTTTTGAATAAATGGTCAAGAGGTGGAGGAATGTCATATTTAGCCTTATAGAAAAAAATGTCCATTTTTAAAAATCTTGTAACTTTGTAATTTCTTGCTCAATTGATACGTTTCTAAGCCTCAAAAATATTCCCTCAAAATCTTATATTTGCACCTCAATTAATTTTAAGAGTAAATGGTCAAAATGTAGAGCCTTTTACACACTTAATTATTACCTGGGGTTGTGAGTTTCTGTGAATTCTTTGGAGTCTCTATAAAGTCTTTATTCAACTCCAAAGGTGGTAACTTAATAATTTCCTTTTCATTGGTACATGCAACGTCAACTTTGCTAATAACTCCTGTGATTTTTGGTAAACTAGATTCCTCTTCTTCTCCCAAGTTTTCTAAAAGTTCTAAACATTCTTCAGAGTAAATGTCAAGCTCAGGTTCTTTAAAATCTGACGGTTTTGGTGGCGGCAACGTTTTTATGAGTTTGCTTTTGTCAGCCATTGGCGAAAACGTTTCAGCTGTTGGAGTTTTGTCATCTCGTGATAAAGATTGAATACTGTTCACTACAAAAAAACACTAATTAATAAAAAATATTGTATTTTAGTTGAAAATCTTACTGCTCATTGGTGTACTAGCAAAATCTGAACCAGCACTCAATGAATTGGTCATTTGTTGCAAATTATTAGTAACTTCCATGGTACTTTTAATTAAACTGTCATTTTGAGAATAATCGTCGTCATCCACATCTTCAAGATGCGCTATATCGTCACTATTATTGTTCACTGACATCAGTGAAGCCATAGATTGCATATCTTCATCGCTAAAAACACAATTTCTTATTGGATTCTGTTAAATTGGATTTAGATAGCTTACGTTGCCTTGCCTTCTCTTAAAAATACACAAGATAAAGTCAAATCTAGCTTGGCTCCTGTAATTTTCTTAGTCGTCGGTTTAAAAACAATTTGTATTTCAGAGTGTGAAGATTCTATACTGGCGTATTTTCTCATGTTTAGATGGGCGACAGCTAATTGTCGTCTTTTACCGGTAGTTGGAACCTACAATAATCTTAAGTAAATTTAACTTTCTACAATATTGACTATTGATTTTGTAATATCTGAAATAAGTAAAAAGCTATTCTAAGTCTTTATGGACAATACACACGCGATCAGAAGTTTTATTATTCCAATACTTACCTAAATAATCTATTCTCAGTGTAGAATGATAAAATAATACTAGATACTGTTTATTATTATATTAACAATTATAATAGGAAAAAATAAAAGTTGATTGATAATCCTCCATAAAGAAGTTGGCTATGACCAGGCTCATCATCATCAATAAAAGTTGAGTTACAAAGTTTTCCATAATAATCAAGAAAATATTTACATTGAACCTATTTATAAAAAGATCCACACATGTGTATAATTATTACATTACTGGTACTTAATTAATTGAACTCATAGTTGACAAACATTCAACTAAAAAAAGCATGATGTAATAATAACTACAACATGGTAATTCTTCATCTAAGTATCTAAATATATTGTTTTCAAACCAGCAATTATAAATAAATAGTTTATCAGCACCGGACACACACTGATAATAATCACATTTAAATTTTTAAAAGGTCAATGGGAAACGGGAATTTTGCCAGATGCGATAGACATTATAATACATACTTACATCTTCAATGATAAAAGTCCAATCTTTGTCCTCCAATTCGTTAGTCCTGGGGTCTTTGAACAGGGTGATGGCGACTTGGTGGTTTTCGGGCACTGGCCACACCACCAAACCCTTGTAGGGGTTCTGCAAGGTGGGTTCCCAGGCTGTGGGGCTTGAAGCCACCCTGCGCGACCTCCTCGACCATACCAATGATAATTTGTGAGGTTCCCTACATTAATACCACAGATGGGATTTTATATTTGGTAAATTCTGGCTTTAAGCAGGATGTATTTTTGACAATTTCCTGTTCAAAACTGTTTCTTGTGTGCATTTATAGTCAATTTCTTCCACCCATGAAATACTGTTTTTATTAATGGGGCTATATCCTGCATATTAAGTGGAATTTGAATTACATATTTATAAGGATAAGGTCATGAATATACAGTTCAATGGGATTCGAAATGATTGTCTAGGAGGGTTTTTGAATATTGTTTCTGAAATTTTAAGTGTTCTGTAGCATTTTGAAATAGATTTTAATTTATCTCAAACAAATGCAAGAGAATTGGAGATTCAATTCAAAGTCTTCTGAAGTTTATCAAAATTCTGGATTTATTCTAAAGTGTTCTAGGGTGTCTCAAAATGCTTAAAAATGTTCCAAATTCGCACGAGTGCATTCTGAAGTTTTCCAAAATACTTTCTAAAGTTTTCAATTGGTTGCTAAATGCTCATTGAAGCGCCAGAATTTTGTAAAAATTATCAGAAATCTCCCAAATATTCTTAAGCGCTTATTGGTAGTTTTAATTGAAATTCTAAATAAGTTTAGAAGTGTTTTAGAGTGTTATAATCAAGGGGCAAATCTCCTAGGAATTCTTTGCCAAAAATTTGGGGAATTTAGAGGAATTTGTGGGGCATTGGAAGGAACTCATTGGAATTTGGGGAATTTATAGGGAATTTGGAGAAATTTTAGGGGAATTTGGAAGAATTTGTGAGGAATTTAAAGGAAATTATAGGGTCATAACGTCACTGAGGTTCACATTCTTATTACTGATAAGAAATAGTAATACATGCAAATTTGAAAAAAAAAATATAGTTTTGTATTGGATGTTGGACATTCTATTTTAATAGAGAAATTCTCCCAAAATTTCACTACTTACATGATTCACAGGTCCAAATTTAAAAAATTCAAAAGAATAATGTTTTTGGTTTTTGTAGGCTGATTCCCAAGATTTTTCATGTTGTTATTTTCCACTGGAAAAATTTGAAATTTTGGGAAAATGAGCTTCTCACCTTCCTCTTTACATGCAAAAAGTTTCAAAATTTTCTCTCCTCTAGTTTTCCTCAAGGAAAATTTTAAAACTCGCTTTAAAATGTATGACTGTATCTTCAATTAATTCAATTTTTGTATGTTGATTTCCAAGGTTTACCATGTTGCTGTTTTCCACTGGAAAATTTGAAATTTTGGGAAAATGAGCTTCTCACCTTCCTCCGAGACTTCCTCTTTACATGCAAAAAGTTTTAAAATTTTCCCTTCACTAGGTTTCCAGGAAAACTTTGAAATGTGTGAAACTGTATTTTCAATTAATTCAGTTATTGTAGGTTGATTTTCAATATTCCTCATGTTGTTATTTTCTACTGAAAAAATTTGAAATTTTTGGGAAAATGAGCCTTTAACCTTTCTACACTCCACTTGCAAAAAGTTTCAAATTTTTGCCTTCACTAGTTTTTCAGGAAAACTTTGAAATGTGTGAGATTGTATTTTCAATTAATTAAGTTTTTGTAAGTTGATTTCCAAGATTCAAGATTTTTCATGTTGTTATGTTCTACTGGAAAAATTTGAAATTTTGGGAAAATGAGCTTCTTAGCTTCCTCTTTACATGCAAAAAGTTTCAAAATTTTCCCTTCTCTAGTTTTCCAGGAAAACTTTGAAATATGTGGGATTGTATTTTCAATTAATTCAGTTATTGTAGGTTGATTTCCAAGATTCTTCATGTTGTAATTTTCTACTGTAAAAATTTAAAATTCTGGGAAACTGAGCTTCTAACCTTCCTCTTTACATGCAAAAAGTTTCAAATTTCTGCTTTTACTAGTTTTCCAGGAAAACTTTGAAATGTGTGAGACTGTATTTTCAATTAATGCAGTTATTGTAGGTCGATTTCCAATATTTGTCATGTTGTTATTTTCTGCTGAAAAAATGAAATTTTGGGAAAATGTGCTTCTTAGCTTCCTCTTTACAGGCAAAAAGTTTCAAAATTTTCCCTTCCCTAGTTTTCCAGGAAAACTTTGAAATGTGTGAGACTGTATTTTCAATTAATTCGGTTATTGTGGAGGTTGATTTCCAAGATTCTTTATGTTGCTATTTTTTACTGGGAAAATTTGAATTAAATTGAATAATTGAGAAACATAATAAAAGTTAACATTTAGTAGTTAGTTCTGACATTTTTTCAGAAGATCGGATATACTGTAAAAGCGCATTGATTATAATCCCCTTAAAAATGACCCTGAGTGCAAAGGAACTTCAAGCTACTTGAAGTTGATACAAGTTTTTGTCTGTATCCAAATCTGAGTATGTATCCTAGCATCATATTATGGAAAAAAAGCTGAATATTGGAAAAAGGGTTTACTTATTTCCAAACTATTGAAAAAGGATTTAGACACATTCATTTGGCCTACTCAGCCTGACTATGCTGAGGTTCAGATTAAATTTATTTACGGTCTTGTAAACCTGTTCAATTTTTAGGAAAAGGTCCTCGAAAATGTCCATTGAAAATAAAAAGGAACAATATACGAATATAACTATTTTCAATATTGTGAAACAATATACATACCTACCTAAGTTGTTTAAAAAGTAGCTACATGACGTGTATTATTCTATTCTTGGTATTATACAGTATCATATTTGTTTTAATTTCCTAGAAAGGTTTTTTTTTTATCAATTAGCGGGTTTAGGTTAGTTCAAACCCCTGCATTCTGGATTACCGGAAACCGAGCCGAAAACCAATAATTAGTTCTAGCTGTAATGTCAACTAACGTAACTTTGCATTTGATCCTACTTGATAAATTGCTCTTGTATTTTAATTAAGCAAAATAAAAATAGAAAAAATAAATTTCCTATCACAGCAATTGTGGGGATTTTCAGGGAATTTGTAAGAGACATTTGTGGGACATTTGAGAGGAATTTGGCTGAATTTGCGAGAATTTGGAGGAAATTGCGGGTATCTGGAGGAATTTGTGGAGAATTTGGAGGAATTTGCAGGAATTTTGAGGAATTATGCGTGAAAAATTCCCCTTTGAGGAATTGTTTGCACAAATTCTGGGACGGTGGTTTACCCCTTGGTTATAATATATTCATGGGAGTTTTTAAATTAGTTCTAAAGTGTCATGTGACGATTTTTAAGGTGTTTTGAAAGTTTCCTATGATTTGTAAAGTTTTCTACAGTGTTCCAATAAGCTTTCAAATTTCAGATTAGTTCTAAAGTGTTCTGTAACATTTTAGAATAATTTCAAATATTCCAATTTGTTTCAAACAAATGCAACAGGATTGAAAATCCAATTGAAAGTCTTCTGAAACTCATCAAAGTTTTAAATTGCTTTAGAGTGTCTAAAAATGCTTCAAAGTGTTCCAATTTGGTGGTAGCACATTCTGAAGCTTTACAAAATCATTTCCAAAGTTTTTAATTGGTTCCTTAATGATTTTCAAGTTATCAAAAATCTTCCAACTAAGTAGGGCGAATATAATCCAAAGTGTTTTTTATTGACTGGAACAGAACGGAAGTCAATGTTGGCATTAAAACTTGACTTATGAATTTTGTTTCTCAGAAAAAAAATTGAATTTCGAGTCAGAGTAATTTGAACAAATGTAGATTTTTCTCTGATAAAACTATCAACTTCTAATTTACAAGAAATATGGTTTAAAGTTTTTTTTATTGATTGGAACTTGATTTATGATTTTTTTCCAACTAAAGTACTTCAAAGTATACAAAAGGTACTTCATTTCTTATTAGCATAAAATGAAATTGGATAAACTGGATACTGAGTACTTTTTAATGTTTCTGAACTTTCTTTAAATTGTTCTAAATCTTAAACCAAGTTAGTTCAAGACCATTTAAAGGTTTGTTCTCACAGAAATCATTAACCTATCAGAGTGAATTTCATTGGTTTAAAACAGTCAGAAAAACTGGTTTTTGGCGATTTGCAGCAATCAAAAATGTTCTGACTGGTTTGTGATTTCTGTAAGAACAGACCTCAAATCTTATACAAAAATGAATTAATTTTTTTTTAAGGTCTTATAGAACTAGAAGTTAACTTCTGGAATGATGTTACTTCCTTATAGTAATTCAAGCAGTTAACTTTTAGTTATCTATTCGTCAAAATAGTTTTAATACCTGCCTCAAACTATTAATACTTTCAAATCTAGCTTGTATAGGATCACTAATGCAATATTTTACATAATTTTAGAGCAATTTTTTTTTTTAATTTCTGATATTAAGAAAGTAAATATTTGTACAGAAAAAACATTCTTTGACCCAATAAGTAATGATGAAAATGCAACCAAATTAAGTAACTCAGGTACTTAAAAACCAGTTTTGATAATCTTTGAAGGGAACTATATTTTAATCAAGTGTCATCTGATAAGAAGTAAATATTTGACTTTGAAACTCTTGATGATATGTTTGAATGGGAAATTGAAACCTGCTGGCACTGACATTGGCCCCTAGGTTAAAAATATCTTATTCCTTCTAATTTCTGGTCAAGGTTCCCAGTTAATGATGTATCATTAACTATTTTTGCTTACCATTTTGAAGTAAAATCTACTGCTAGTTGATGATACGAGGCAGTAAATTGGAACTTGGCAGCTCGTTTATTAACCCTTTGCAGTCGTTTCCAGACCGAGCCCATATTTCTGCCCTCTAGTCCTACGCAAGACTGCATGGTTGGGGGAAAAATTGAAGATATTTTAAATAGAAATTCAATTAAACTAGTTCACACTACAACAACTGGCATAAAATAAAAGGAACAGGATCATTATAGGTCTTTTGTTTATCAAGAAGCAAAATTAAATGGAGCAAAACACTAAAAACACTTTTCACATTAAAAAATCACTAGTCACATGCACTGACATACCTGCCTAGAATGTTTTTAATTAAGTACGCATTTTAGTGGAGCCTTTCTATTTGGAACTTTGTTATTTTTCTTTTGCCAAGGGCTAGTTTTGTGTGGTGTCAATATTGTATTTATAGAATTCACAAATCTATTAAAAAAAAATTTAGTTGTCAGTGTCAAAAACATACAGTGCGATCATGCTGCCATCTATAAATTCAACTCTAAAGCTTAATTCTCACTTGCGTCACAGAAAATCTTTTCGCTCTTTTTTGACATTTGCTTCAATAGTTTGACGTTTGATACATGCATAATGCGAAATTTGCTCTTTTTTTGATATTGCTTCGACAATTTGACGTTTGATACATGCATAAAACGTCAAATTGTCGAAGCAATGTCAAAAAAAGAGCAAAATTCGGCAAGCTTTTATTTGGTAAAATTACAGTTTCCTGTATTTTATTAACTCCCATTTCAATGCAGTATCACAGAATATTGTTGGAAATCAATTTTTTGAAGTCGAAAATGACCTTTCAAGGCTTAAGGAATGGTGCGATTCAAATCGACTTGTGTTTAATGTTTCGAAGACCAATATTCTCACCTTTAAATGTTCCCTTGAAAGTATAATGCTTCACAAATCCACATTGAAGAGCAGAGGTGCGGTCAAATTTCTTGGTATGCATATTGACTCAAAACTCAAGTTCGATGTGCATATCGATCAGCTGAACAAAAAATTAGCTCAAGGGTGTTACATAGTGAAATCCATTATTTAAGAGCTAGGGAAGCGTGCAGCGAAATCTGCATACTATGCACTAATCGAATCAAATTTGAGATATGGCATACCATTCTGGGGTTTTTGGTTTTTCTGGGCAAAGCACAGTTCATTCGGTTTTCAAATTACAAAAGAGAGCACTCAGGTATTTGTGTCGGGCTGGCTGCAGGCAGAGCTGCAGGGCACTGTTTGAGCAGGAGGCTGTTCTAACTGTTCCGGGTATTTTTATTTTGGAGACGTCTTTAATTAATTTTTAAGAAATTTAAGGGTAATTCTAGAGAAACACATTATAATCTTAGGCAGAGTAATTTGCCTCTGCCCATACCAAAGTCTTCACTAACAAAAAATTCTGTTATATACGAGAGTATAAAGATTTTTAATAAGTTACCTCATGAAATAAAGAGTATTCATGAGCTTAAAATATTTCGAGAACAACTTAAAATATATTTGATTCGAAAGATGTTTTATAGTCTCCAGGAATTTTACGATTCATCCTAATTAGTCCTAAATTTTGTTAGTTTGTGATTATATTTGTTAATTTTATGATTTGTTTTATATTTATATTTATATTGGTTCATATTCTTGTGATATTTTATTATTTTTGTTGTGTCTGTCCGTGGCATTCTGATATTTAATTAGTGTCACTTGTATTGATATTTTAACGTGTTTCATAAGCATAATTGTAATAATTGAAGATTTGCTCCTCGATTTGCTCTTTTTGTTCCTATTATTTAAAAAAAATAAAATACACATATATATTGTCAACTAGCTGCTTGGGAAAGGAGGACCCGGTATTCAACCTTATTAATTTAATTGCCGATTCGATCGAATATTTATTGCAATTCAGCAATAAATTAATATAAATTGCGCTGCAAGCCGCAGCAAAGGTAGACTTAAACCAGTGCAAGTAGGTACCTCTCGTTGGAAAAGCCCCTCTGGAATTAAGTCTCCCCAGTGCAAGTACCTCTCGTTGGGAACGCCCCTCTGGGTATCTTCAGCCTTATCGTTGTCCAGTGCAATTACCTCTCGTTGGGAACGCCCTTCTGGACAAGGCATAAGGGTGACGATAAACTAATCTACAGTCCCCCAAGCAGCATTGACGTGTGGCTCCCTATAAGGACCCCAGTGTTCGAAGGGTCATGTATCTTATAGGATTAGCGTACATGTAAGGTTATATTTGGGAAAATATATATCTATATTTTTATATAACCTGAGCGAGTTTCTCTCTATCAACCCCCAAAGCTACAAACCCCCCATGTCACCCCCGTAAAGCGGGTAGTTGTGACATATTTGGTGGAGGCGCCGTCTCGAAACCGACGCGCAAGAACCGACGTCGTAAGGCGCCTTTGAAGAAAGCCGACGCCCAAACACGTCACCAGGCGGTACGTCGACAAGAGAAATTCACGACACCGTGGCGAAGGTGAAGAGAAGACAGAAGAATAAATTGTGACACATAGTTAGTACCGCCGCCATTGTGGCAAGATAGATGCCAGACAAAACCAAATATAATTTGAGGCCAAAGAACGCAGCAGCAACGACACCAGTAGAATTAGAATCAGAAAACGTGCTCTTTCTGCCGAGAATATCACTGCAAAGATCACCACCAGAGTCAACCAGTATCAGTTTAGAACAAATTGAAAGGGAAATAGAAAACCAAGCAAATAATCAAACAGGCTACGAAGAAGACAGTGTTTTTGGTAGCCCACCAGACCTTACCCTTCAAGAAGCACCAAAACCCAGGCAACCATCAAAAGAGAAAGTAGATCAACCGGATATAATGGCGAACACCACAATAACTGATGCTATGACAGCGGAGAAAAAGGCGAAGTTGCCTCAGTTTATCAGCCCTCAAACCTTCCAGCCATGTAAAACCAGCGCGATCGAGTTCCTAAGAACATATGACAGATCAGCGATAGCAAATGGATGGGACGAAAAGCTGAATTTTTTTTATTTTGAAACGTATTTAGATGGAGCCGCAAACCTGTGGTTTCAGGAATATAAGCGCGACAACCAAAACAACAGTTGGAAAGACATTGTTAAAGACTTTTCAGAGGAATTTGAGGATACAGATTACCAAAGGGCACTCAAGAAAAAAGTCGAAAACAGAAAACAGGGTCAAGATGAGTCAGTCAAGGAATACTTGTACGATTTACAAGTATTACACCACAATTACACGCATACATTTGATATACAAGAATTTGTAAGGATTTTCAGCGAAGGATTGACAAAGGCAAATCATTACACTTTCTACTGGTTAACAAACCCGCCGAACAAGCCACCAACATCACTTATACAATTAAAAGAAATAGCAGACACGATAGACAAAGCTCCGAAGAAAGGTGCAACGCAAGATACCCAAATTACCAGCTGTACGGAAAGAAACACAATCACAGACACAGAACTAAACATATGTCATTATTGTGGAAAAAGAGGACATGTAATGGCCACCTGCAGGATCCGAATGCAAGGAGAACACACAAGCACAAGAGTACCAATATCTAGCCAAACGTGTTACAACTGTGGGAAAGCAGGACATACTGCAACAGTATGCAGAAGTCAGCCTCAAAGGTACAAATCGTATACGCCACGAAACAACAAAAACAATCCAGGTTGCTTTGTTTGTGGAAAACAGGGTCACTTTGCAAACACCTGTACAGCCCGACGACAAAACCCAAACGAGAAGGGATGGCAAAATTAAAAGCCCCTGCCATCCTTACCATGGGGAAGAACAATAGCATGGGAATCTTGCACATCACAATTAGATTAAATAATAAGTACATATCAGCAATCGTGGATACAGGAGCACAAGATAGCGTTCTACAAAGAAGTCTAATCAAAGAGGAACTAACAAGAAATGATGACACGGTTCTAGTCACTGCAGGAGGACACCAGATAAAAGTTTTGGGAGACATTGATGTTCCAATAGAAATACCAGGGAGTCAGAAATGGAAGGGCAGACTAAACGCCAAAGTGGTTTCATCATTAACTCAACCAGTCATCCTAGGCATGGAGTTTTTGACAAAAAATAACGCGATCATAGATCTCCCAAGGAAAAAACTGATTCTGAATGGTCAGTATGAAATACCTCTAAGACAAATGAATAATGAAAAAATCAACATGTCAGGTCTGGTCACAACAAAACAGCCAACTAAAACGAGAGAGCTTAAACTAGATACTTCAAGAGATGAACAAGAGTTTAACAAGTTTGTAAGAGAGCACATTCACATAAAAGATGACCAAGTTAACGGTCTGCTGAAAGAAGAATATGGAAACATAGACGTCCTAACGAACGATGCCGTTTTAGTAGTAGGAGTAACCCAAAACTACAAATCAAAAAAATCAGTTTTGAGAAAATATAGGCATATGATTCCAAAAGACAGAGAGAAAGGGACCATTGGGAAGCTATCCATGTCAAAACAAGGAAAAAAATCAGTAATTTTTCTATTTACAAGAGAATCAATGAAGAAGAAGCCAAGTCCAAGAAATATGTATAAATGTCTCACAGCACTGAGGAACAATATCTCAAAAAATAAATCCATCAAAAAATTAGTCATTCCAAGACAAGGATGGGGATTAGAAAAAGAATGGACAAGATTTAAACAGATGATATATTTTCTATTTGAAGGTGCAGGGGTCCAAATTCACATTTATAGGGAAAACCCTGGGGATAAAGCTAAAGAAGAAAAGCAGGAAGAAGAAATTAGGCATCTGATGCAAATCGGTACAGAAACCAAGAAAAAGACATATAAATTGGGTACAAAGAAAGATTATATGGTGTCTCAGAATGAGTTAAAAACATTGGAATTAGATATTATGGGCAAAAATAGTGAGATTAAAGATAATACTACGTATACATGCAAATATAATTTAGACTGGTTAGCAAAAAATCATCTCGAACTAAAAACGCACATTCACACCAATGAAGGTAGTCTCATTTTAAAAGTACAATCAAACACAAGGAACCCAGTAGCTATATACGCAGGAACCACAATGGCATTTTTGGCAGAAACTGCATCAGAGACAAATCTTTCACACAATTTCATGTTACAAGCAGAAAAAGACGAAGAGAGCGAAGAAATAACAATGGAAGATCATAAGTTAGACAGCATCACAAACGAGAAGAACAGGCATGAACTCAAAGAACTCCTTCTGGAATACAACGACGTTTTCGCGAAATCCACAAAACATATGGGAAAGACAAACTTAACAGAACACATAATAGACGTCGGAGAGGCTCGCCCAATAAAGAGCCGCCCATACAGAGTGTCACAAAAAGAAAGACAGATTATTGACGAACAAATCCAGGAAATGCTCGATAGCAAAGTAATTCGGCCTTGCCACTCTCCATGGGCTAGCCCTGTAGTGCTAGTTAAGAAAAAAGATGGAAAAACAAGATTTTGTGTAGATTACAGAAAGGTGAACACAGTAACAAAAAAATCAACATACCCACTACCACAGATCGATGACATTTTGTCATACTTGGGCAATGCAAAATGGTTTAGCACACTCGATATGTTTTCCGGATATTCGCAAGTTCCAGTCGAAGAGAAGTCCAAGCAATACACTGCCTTCGTGGCGCAAGGACATGGGACTTACGAATTTAATGTTTTAAGTTTTGGATTATGCAACGCGCCGGCCACTTTCCAAGAACTAGCAGACCAAGTTTTTTGGGATATGAAATGGAAGGAAGTGCTAATCTACCTAGACGACATCATTATATTCTCACAAACATTCGAAGAACACTTGAGCAAACTAAAGAAAGTTTTTGAGCGATTGCGACAAGCTAATCTTACTCTAAAACCAAGCAAATGCGAATATTTGAAACAAGAAATCAAAATACTAGGATTCAAAGTAAAGGAGCAAGGCATATTACCAGATGAAGAAAAAATAATTTGCATAAAAGGGTTCCCGACGCCAAAGAAAATTAAAGATGTACAGAGCTTTCTAGGATTATGTAATTTTTATAGAAAATTTATACATAACTTTGCAGCAATAGCAAGACCGCTACATGAAGTAACAAGAAAGAACATAGGGTTCAAATGGGGTTCTGAACAAAACAAAGCATTTAACATTCTTAAAGAAAAACTGGTTTCCGCACCTGTGCTACAGCATTTCAATCCAAATAAAGATACCATTTTGCACACCGACGCAGCAACATGTGGAATTGGGGCAGTACTTTTACAAGAAGACGACAAGGGAGAAGCACATCCAATAGCCTACATAAGCAGAAGTCTTTCAAATAGCGAGAAGAATTATTCAATTAGTGAATTAGAACTCTTAGGCGTAGTGTGGGCATTGAGCTATCTGAGACACTTAATTTACGGCAGACCAGTAAAAATTGTCACTGACCATCATGCTCTTTGCTGGATGGACTCCATTAAGGAAAGTAACAGACGCTTGGCCAGGTGGGCACTAAAACTTGCAGAATTTGATTACACGGTTGTATATAAAAAAGGATCAACACATAGCGACGCCGACTGTATGTCCCGCAATCCAGTGCTTCAACCAGAATTCGAGGAAAAAGAAGAACAAGAGGAGCTCCCCACATTCACACTAAAATCAATGCAAACGGCTACATTACAGGAGAAAGACCCAAGTCTAAAACAAATATTCAAAGGTATAAGAAACCCAGACGACCCAGAAATTAATATTGGCATCAGAAGAAGAGCAAAAAATTTTAGGATTGAGAAAGACTTACTCTATAAAATTAATAAGACAAAAAACGGCTTAGAAAAAGTATTAGTAGTACCAAAATCAATGAGAGAAGAAATTTTGTGGGAGCTACATGCATCACCGACAAGTGGACACTTGGGACTGAGCAAAACAACGGACAAAATTAAAAACAGATTTTTTTGGGATGGAATGCTCAAGGACATCGAAAAGTACGTTAAGGGATGCCCAGATTGTCAAGCTAGAAAGGGGCAACCTTACAGAAAAACGCCAGGGATGTTACAACCAATACCGGTGGGAACAATTTTCGACAAAATCGGAATTGATCTTTTAGGCCCATTTAGAAGAAGCAGTAAAGGGAAAACAATGATAGTTGTAGTTACCGATTACGCCTCACGATATGCCATCACAGCCGCCCTACCGAATGGAAAAGCCGGACCAGTTGCAAATTTTTTACTAGAAAAAGTATTCTTAATACACGGAATGCCAAGAAATCTGCTCAGTGACAGAGGAAAAGTCTTTCAATCAGAATTAGTAAGGGAATTAGGAAAATTAATGGGAGTAAGAAGCCAATTTACAACCGCATACCATCCTTGTTGTAATGGTCTCACTGAAAGGCTAAATAAGACAATAGCTGACATGTTATCTATGTATTGTAACACACAGCAAACGGACTGGTGTAGCTATCTACCATTTATAACATTTGCGTATAATACAGCAATACAGGACACAACGAGATTTAGCCCATTTATGTTAACATATGCAAGGGAACCCACACTACCAGCAGAAGCTGCATTGTTGGACGCTGACAACGAAACGGACGCTCTGCAAATTAGAGAAAAGGCACTCTTAATAAGAGCCATAGCAGTGGAAAATATACAGAAAAGACAAGGGAAAGATAAAGGGCGTTTTGATGAAAGACATAGAGAATTGGACTTTGAAGCTGGAGACAAAGTTAAAGTGTTTATCCCAATCAGAAAGGTTGGAAGAAGTGAAAAGTTACTCTTAAGATGGTTTGGACCATACAAAGTAATTAGAAAAATGGGAGAAGTGAATTACAAGGTACAAAAGATTGGAAGCAGAAAAAAGGATACGGTCCACGTGAGTAGGATGTTACCCTACTACGATCCATGGACAGAAGCTGCGCCTATTGAAGAAAGGGCAGATGAGACAGATATAGCTGAAAACGCAGAATCTGAAGTTGATGAGGATGAAGGAGACGAAGAAAAAATTGAAGAAGAAATTGGAATCAGTGAAGCAGAAAACGAGGAAGAAGAAGACTGATTGTACAGATAAAACATAAGCAAAATTATGAAGTAGGGAAATAGGAAGTAGAGATAGGATGAAAAAATAGAGTAAGAGATTAAATAGAGTAAACAAGGAGGGATGGAGAGGAATGACAGCTCAATATAAGAGGAAACTAGTGGATGACCTCATAATTCTAGGGGAAGATAGAGAATATTAATTACTATATAAGAAGAATCAGAAACATTCTTATCGACGGAAGAAGCCGCCGAAGGGATCTTAGAAAAGTACGAGCTGCAAAAAGAAGGCATATGGGTATACAAAAAATAAGTTGGACTAAAAAATTACCTGTTGGAGCCATGATCAACAAATAACCAAATTATGAAATTTGTTGGCCCGATTGTGGGTCATAATTAAACCATGTAATTATAAGAATAAGCACATTTTTTAAAATATTATTTTATTTTTTGCATGTATATACGAAACTACCAACCAGGGACGGACGACAAAACAAATTCGAGGGAACGCATTGTAATAGAAGGACCTAGCTCTGGACTGAGCAGGGGCTAGGAACTTCAAACCAGAAGAAACAAATGGGTATGGACCAAAAGTAGACAGACCAGAGTACCATTTCCACCACACTCACAAAAGAAATGATCAAGGATTACTTAGACCGTGGGACCGTACACCCCACGATCTAGCTGACCAAATCGCCAGGAAGTACTTGGAGCCAGAACCAATCCACTTGAAAGGCAGAATACAGCACAACGAACAAGAAAGAAGAATAACAAACCAGGAAACGACACTTAGACCGTGGGATCGATATCACCCCACGATCTAGCTGACCTACCAAGAAGTATTTGGAACCAGAACAGACCCACAACACAGAAAACAGGACCGGACCAAAAGAGAAAAACCCGAGGAAAAACCCATGGCTGAAACGGTGAAGTTGATGAAATTTCTTAGTTGCAAGATATTTTTTTTTTGTAGTAACCTGAATAATAATGCACCCTCACCCATCCCACCATAAAAAACTTTTGTTAATTTTGATTTTTAATTTTTTTCTCTATACCTACGCGATATTTGGATTATATAATTGTTAAGCATCAGGGATATTTTATAATTAGGCTATTATTGTAAAGAAGGGATATTTTTAGGATAAGGATATTATTGTATTTTTTGACACTATTATGGTATTTGTATATAATTTGTTGTAAATGTCTCTTCCAAGCATTGGGGTCCAATGCTTCATGGAGGGGGGGCATATGTCAACTAGCTGCTTGGGAAAGGAGGACCCGGTATTCAACCTTATTAATTTAATTGCCGATTCGATCGAATATTTATTGCAATTCAGCAATAAATTAATATAAATTGCGCTGCAAGCCGCAGCAAAGGTAGACTTAAACCAGTGCAAGTACCTCTCGTTGGAAAAGCCCCTCTGGAATTAAGTCTCCCCAGTGCAAGTACCTCTCGTTGGGAACGCCCCTCTGGGTATCTTCAGCCTTATCGTTGTCCAGTGCAATTACCTCTCGTTGGGAACGCCCTTCTGGACAAGGCATAAGGGTGACGATAAACTAATCTACAGTCCCCCAAGCAGCATTGACGTGTGGCTCCCTATAAGGACCCCAGTGTTCGAAGGGTCATGTATCTTATAGGATTAGCGTACATGTAAGGTTATATTTGGGAAAATATATATCTATATTTTTATATAACCTGAGCGAGTTTCTCTCTATCAACCCCCAAAGCTACAAACCCCCCATGTCACCCCCGTAAAGCGGGTAGTTGTGACAATATATATATATATATTGTTAAGGGTGAATGCGGAGTGTGTCCTCTGAATAGTAGTTTAGTTTAGGATAAGTCGCTTTGTCAATGGATCTTTTTGAATTTATGACAATAAAACTTTTTTTGATTTGATTTGATGTGGAACTTTTTTGCTGGAGGGGATGACAATTTTCAAGTTGGATGTGTTTGCATCTTATTGCGAAAATGTTTTGGTAAAAATAAAAGTCAAAAACTCACACTACACCGTCTAAAGTTTATTAAAATCAAAAGATTATTGGAAAATTCTACAAACTACATTGAATCGTAACTTAAAATAATGTAAAAAAAAATATTCCACAAGTAAAATACACTTAACCACAGCCACTGCCTCCTATACTTAACAAGCCATGAAGTTGGAAATGACGGCAACGTCGCGTATGGTGCTATTTTGTTATGTGTTTCTGTGTAATGCTTTCATTGTGTATTGTTGCAGTTTAGTATTTTTGTGGGCATTATTGACGAAAAAGTGGATAGAAACACACCAATATATTGCCCATATTTAGTTGATACCTGTTCCTTTGTGCTTTGATTGCAATTTTTTAGCAAATGGGTACAGGAGCAAAAATGAAGGTATGGTAGATGATGACTGACAAAAAATAATAAGTGAAAACAACATAGTTGGCATGCTATATCTTTTCTTTTTACAATCAAGTAAAAAGAGTTGATTCAATAATATTCCTAATAAGTTTTTGTACTCACAACCTTCATCAAGTTTTTTGATACCTTCTTGAAGATAATACTGAGCTTTTTAAAAACAATAAATTGAATCTAAAGAAATGTCATTAACAAAAGTGTATCGAGTCAATAAATTTTCTATTTGGGACCACCTACTGAGTTTTCTACTACTCGGTAGAATCCACATAAGGTCACTACTTGTAATATCATTGTCTCCAACAAAAACACTTACCACTAATTCTTGGCTAACACTTACACTGGAAACAATTTTCAAATTTTCAATATCACAGTCATATCCATCACGATCAATATTTAACATATAAAAATGTACAAATGTCGAAGATACTTTACATTGCCATTTATTCAGAGTTATTTTAGTTTCAAGAAGTTTTACAAAATTTTCAAAGCTTGGAATCAGATCACTTTGAAGATAATTTTCTACAGTTTCGGTATGTCTTTTAACAATATCACTTTTTCTAGCTTCAGGATTTTTTCGGATGGTAGGGGCAGGTCTATTTAAATATTTGGGCTGGTTTTCGAAAATATGTGGTACAGCGTTGCTTTTAAGGATTGGACGTTTAAGTTTGTGTTCTCGACTTACTCCTTCTTTATCTTTGTATGTTTCAAATCTAATGATTTCATTTTTTTCAAAATGTTTCGCACACACTACAGAATTTTTTGTTACCGTATAATTATCTCGGTGTATAGCTTTTAGCCATAATTTCTGTAATTCGGAAGTTTTTGGAAATGAAAATGTTGTTTGCAGTTCCTCAGTCTTCAGGGAACTCCTATAGTTGGATTTGCACCTCGGCACACAGCAGTTTCTTGGCATCTGAAGTTTAAATATCTTGGATAATAATAATATCGAGACCTATACATGTGGTCTTGCACTTTGCAAAGTGGAAACAAATATTATATTGTTTTTATTTGCTTTTACCTTAACTCACCTTAATTTTTGCTCCTGTACCGATTGCAGTATTTGCTATAAATTCACAATCAAAACACAACTAATAATGGCATAACAGGTATGAACCAAATATAAACAGTAAGTAAACAATATATTGGTGTTTCTAGCCACTTTTTCGTTTGAAAATGCACCTCACTCTAGCAATAAACAATGAAAACAATACACAGAAACATATAACCTCAATAGCAAAATAGCACCATACGCGACGTTGCCGTTATTTCCAACTTCATGGCTTGTAAGTGTAGAGGGCTGTGACTTAACACAACTAACCAGCTTTCATAGATAACATTCAATTTATCTAATAAGAATTTGATTACCAACTATTGGTTAGCCAACACTTAAGAGTTCAATACAAAATACGCATATATCTAATATCTAAATAATAAAAAGTAAATTTTAAGAAGCAAAAATCTTGGGAATAGTTGCTTATTTTTTAGCCCCGCGCTTGCTCTTGGGCGCAGGAGTTTTCCTTGTTACCCTAGGAGTAACTGGAGGAGTTGCCTTTGTTACCTAAAATTTTTATTATGCACCTAAGATATTACTCACAAAATTAACAAACCTCTTGATCCTCTTTGAGCTTTTCTTCAGGCACAGAAGTGTCCATTGAATCTTCAACTTTTTCTTCCTTGATGGGAGCTTCTTCTGTGGCCTCAGACGGATCATACATCTCTTGGTCACCTTCAGCTTCTTCACCACCTTCCTCAGCAACTTCTTCAGCAACTTCACCTGCAGAAACAAATTTATTGCTACATTTGTAATAGATTTAATCCACTAAGACCCACCTTCTTTTTCCCCATTTTCTTTAATTTTTGCTTCCCGTTCTGCCTTCAGAGCAGCATCCTTTTCAGCCTTCTTCCTTTTTTCTTCTCTATCATGTTTTTCCTTGATCACCTCAATAAAGCGATAGAAATGCTTTTTGGTTTTTAAATGAGCCTGAAACAAATTTTCTATGGAATAAATATGTGAAAATTTAATGAATCTCTTACATCAGCATCGTCTTGGTCAGCAAAACTCCTGTGACACAAGTCACACTTCCAACCAACAAATTCGGAGAGACTATTGGTAGCCAAAGGCCTGTCTTTCTTATAAGCTGGCAAACGATTGGTCAGATTTTCAAGATTATCATCTACTTCCAGAATGACATCTTCACCTTCCATATTGAGAGTTTCATCTAGCAATGGATCCAAATTTAATTCAACATTGTTCTCAGTTTCTGGCTCTTCTTCCTCATTTTCACCACCTTCGACGATTTCATCTCCATCTGAATATATAAAAATATATTATTTTTTCACATTTACAACTAAATAATTGATTACCTTTGCCACCAAGTTTCTTCTCTGTAGACTCATGAACTCGTTTCAAATGCTCAGGTGTCAAGCAATGTTCAATCCATTCAATTCTAGAGGGATACTCTTTGTCACACATCCGACAAGTGGGGTGCAAGTACCTCTTCAAACGCTGATGCCCTTCACCTCTGCGGTGAATAACAATTTTGCCCATAAACTTGAGATCGCACATGGCGCAATGGCTCATGGGAGGTTCGCCGCGTCTCTGGCTAAATTTCCTTTGACGATTTTGCCTGTTGTACTCTATAGCTTTGCGCTCTTCAGCCAAACGCAGGTTTTCTCTTAAAATGTTCACGCAAATGTGAATGCTCTCTTCCAGTGCTTTCAGCATTTCATGATGGGCACGACCGCGGACATGCTTGGCCATGGATTCCCCATCCCACATCTGCTTGTTGCACACAAAACAGTTTAGATACTTGGAGGGTACACCTGCATATTTGCCTTCCTTGTTGGCTGGCTCCTTTTCAGCATCCCCTCCTTCTTTTGACTCGCCGTTTTTCTCATCTTTCCAGTCGCGCTTGGAGTCAGTGTTTTCTTCCTCTTCACCAGTAGTTGTTCCATCAGGCTTTTAGGTCATAATTTTATTAATTTGAATTATATACAGAGATTAATTCTAGTTTACCTTCTTTTCATCTTTCTTCTTTCCATCTGTTTTAGCTTTCTTCTGCTGGTTACCTTTTTGATTTCTTGGAGGTGACCTCTTACGTCCAAAATTTCCACGATTCTATTTAATTAGAGATTTGTCAAGAATAGATAATTTTCAAAATAAAATATCTATGCTGCTATTATTTCTTTAATTGAAATACAATTCATTAGCTAAATTGAATTATTTTAGTAAAAACATATTCAATAAGTATAAAATGAGATAGAACTTCAATAAAACCATATTTTTAGTTATATTTTTGGGAATATTTTTACATATAACTGTTATTACTTATATGTAAATGACTTATTAGTAAATTTAATTATTGCTTTAAGTCATCTACATGTGGGAAGTTGGGCATTTATATTCGATAGTTTTTTTTAAATAAGTGACTTAAGTGTGCATGTAAAGTAAGTAAAGTGACAACAAGAAAAATACACCCAATTCAATTAAAGACAATAGAAATTTATTCAAGTCAAATCCAGGTAGGCACACTCAATAAAATGGCAAATGATAATAATTAAAATATTTGCCATATTCAAGCATGTATAGGATTTAAATATTTCAGCATCTTGGATAATGTTGAAGTCAACTGAAATGTTGCCTTGACACAAAAAGGAATCAAAATATCCAAAAGAGTTGTTTACATGAAACAAAGAACTATGTCAGAGTTTCTTCTTGTGTTATCTCGAAGGGCATTCGATTATGATTTAGAATCAGTTACACATTAATGTGTGAGTAATTTTCCACAAATATTTTGCCACTCAAATTGACAATAAATAAAATTAAAAATTTTAATAACTAAAAATGGAGTTGGTAAAATAGGCACAGCAGTATGAAGGAATTAATGGAAACTGGGAGGAATTAGAAGAGGTACGATTTACCCCTTGGAATAAGTATCTGCATTTTTCATAAAGGATAAGTTGTAATAAATCAATTCAAATTAAAATTAATGCCATAGTTAGAAGAAATAGAGTCTTTTGAACTAAGCACTGGAATACCTTTTTTTTTTGGTAACAAGTCTTTATTAAACCAACAAACTATGATAGTTTACAAAGGTTTCATGTATAACTAAAATTTTATATACATAGTAAATAAAGACTTTTAAATGACAAACATTCCGTGAAAGGTTGAACTTTGGAAATTTCACAGCAAATTTTTTTAAGCTGTTTTTTAAATTTCCATATTTTTAATGAGCATATTAGGTATATTCAGAGCTGAGCTAAGTAGTCAGCAAATGTACTTGAAGTATTGAGTATTAAATATTTTAAATATACTTACAGTATTAAGTACAATATTTTTCTCGAGATTTTTCTAATGTACTTAAAGTATTAAGTATTTTACTTGAAGTAAAAAAAAAACAGTATAAGTATCAGTACCTACCTATTATTATGCATTTAAGTACTATAAATATTTCAAGTATTTATAAGTACCTAGAATATTTATATGTACTTTCTTAACACATAAAGTGCTATAATGAAAGCATTTTTTTTTTTGAGTCCCTGGAACCACAAACATAGTATATTTGCAGTTTTTATTTTGCACATATTGGCCTTGGTGGGTTACATACATCCAACAATCAATAGGTCAAGTCTAGAAATATGTCACTAAAACACTTACAAACACACTCCTATAAGAACCACAGCCAAATACATTTTCTGGCCCGGTGGTAGTGGTGGGTTAGTTGATCCAATCTAAGGTTGAACCCACCATGACACTTTAGAATTTAAGTACTTATAAATCTATCAATTAATAAAATGAAATTATAATGCTATTTTTCTGTTTACTACATACTTTTAATGCACATTTATTTTCTAGTGAACAGACCTATTGTTTAGTTATAATAATTATCATAAAATAATTAAAAATTGAAGTTTTACTTACTTATAGGAACTTACCTTTTTAAACAACATAAAATAAGTAATTAAACTTAAAATAGTTTGAATACTTCATACTTCAAGTACTTTTGAAAACTACTTAAGTATTTTCAAATAGTAAGTAGTACTTAAAATAAATTGTCAAATTTAAGTACCAGTACAAGTATTTCTTTCAAATTGTATAAATTATATTTTTCAAGGTACTCTCCTCATGAAAGTACTTAAGTAGAATACTTAAACTATCAAATGATTCAAATGTACTGTACTGAATATTTTACTTCAAGTATATTTTTCTAATCAGTAACTCAGCTCTGGATATATTCAATGACAATGCTATTCAGAACAGATTACATACTTATGTTATAATACCTACCTGATATTTTAGAATACATGTTCATTTTTTCAATATGCTGATATCACCTTAGTCCTCAGTAAATATAAAAGTTACATGATACCTCAGAAAATATATGTGATGTTAATATTATAGAAAATCAGGAAGACAAACACTATCAAGTTTTTCAAAAACAAAGAATATTTATTAGAATAAAAATGAAAATCTAATCAGGATTAAATTTATATGTGATTCTGGTAAATAACTTTTTTAATTGGAAATATTGTGTTTAAAGGTCAATTTTATTATGAAAGTTCAGTATTTGTATTTTCATTGAGCTTGGGTCTCTTAGTATTATGACTATAGAGAGAAGCAGGTGTATCTTGGCTTATGAGTTCATTGTATATATCTTGATTTGGAATTTTATTAATGGAACATTCCAGTATTATGTGATTTAGGTCTTCTTGGTTGGAGTTAGGTGAATCCAAGGGTGAATCCTTTATTCCAATTCGATGAAGATATATGTGATATTAATATTATAGAAGATCAGGAAGACAAACATTAGATATCAAGTTTTTCAAATACAGGAATGTTTATTCCAAATAATAATGAAAATCTAATCAGGATTGAATTTATATCCTGGTTCTGGTAAATATTTTTTGAGAGATGTTGAAATAATATCCTATACATACCTAAATTAGACAAATATAAGGAGAAGAACATAATCTACTAAACATTTAGTCGTACTGCAGTTGGAAATCAGTACACAGACAGAAAAAAAAAAAGTAAAATAAGTTGTCATACCTTGTTGTAGGGCTCGTGGCGTCTGATATCGCGGTTTCGGCTAATGCCGCCGCCGCCAAAACGATTACCGTAATTGTTAGAGAAACCCCCTGCGGTATTGAGAGATAAAAGGGACGGAGGCTGTTGATGATGCTGCTGTTGCTGAGGCTGAAGCAAACTGGTTAAAGCCAGAGCCAGAGACTGATTCGATAATTGAGGAATTAATCCGCCTTGATTCCCGCCACCGCCTTGCCAGGGGTTGACGCCACCGCCACCCGAATGGAATGGCTGCTGGGAAAAATTGGGGCGATTATTGCCACCCAGACGGTTACCACCACCCATTCTTCGGTTCATGATTGCTTTTTGCTTTGCTACTAGCTAGATAAAATGGGAAAGAAAAATTTCGATTATGGATGCTGCCGGCTGCTCGACTCTGCTGCATATTGAAAAGATTTGAAAAATGTTACAAAAATATCCCAAAATGTGCAGAACAATTGTGGAAACGCTTGAAATGTTCAATAATTTTCGTTAAAAAGTACCCAAAAGAGATTTTTTGTCCGCAGAAGGAATTTTTTCACAAAATGGAGGCGATCCACTGAATGGCCAACAGAGGAAGCCGAGTAGATTCATTTGAAATACTCAAAAATAGGATAATTTTACAATTTTTTCATACTTACCCAATGTAAAAAACTGCTAGCGGGTCGAACTACAGAGCTCTCTGGAAAGATTTAACCTGAAATTACTAAAAAAATCTGTGAAAAAGGTTTGGAAGAAGCGAGAATCGAGATGCAACCTCACGCTATCAAAATTTAAGAGATCGTGATCGTTCGATCGTTGTTGTAGCGTAGCACTCGTAGCGTCGTAGTCGTAGAGCGGAATCTACGATGCGCAAGCGTAATAATTCAGGGCAGATTTGATTCGGAGCTGCTTTCGGGTGCTCTGGCTACAGTTTGACCCGTTCGAGTGCAGAACGCAGGGAGTATGACAGGTGTGAAGTGTTCTAGGAGCGCGGCTCAGAGATTGTTGAAAAAGAAGAACAGAAGTTTAGAACAAAACATGCAGTGCTAAAAGAGCAGGGCAGAATATTCAGTTCATTATTTCCGACTCCGATTAGTGCGACTAGTTGAAGTGGAGACAAAGCTTTTATTAAGATACTTTCCAGTGAGGCGCTTTAAGCACTCTTGCTGCTTTAGAGCGCTCCAGCCAGACTGTTTGTAGTCGTTCCAGTTTCCAGTGCATTTAGAGTTTCTCCTGCCCTCTCAAACAAGAGTATGGTGAGCAGACAGACAGACTCTGAAATATGCCGAACGATATCCATAACCATTGCTCAACCATGGGATCGACCCATTTGTGCTAATGTTCATTTGCTCAAGGTCGCCCCATTTGTGCTAATGTTCATGCATTTGCTCTACCCACCCGAAGTCGCTTTCGGTAAGTTGTGCTTTCGGGATCCTTTGGGCGGGAGCGTCGGACATAACCGAAGTACGATTCTTGACTCATAACTGCGAAATTCGCACTTTTTTGACATTGCTTCGACAAATTGACGTTTTATGCGTGAATCAAACGTCAAATTGTCGAAGAAATGTCAAAAAAGTGCGAAATTCGCAGTTATGAGTACTAGGCTTAATAAAGGTGAGTTCGGAATGGTAGAATGTAGGTGAGTTTGGAATGGTAGAAAGTGTCGGCACTTTTTACACTATTGACACTATAGCGTTTTTTAATTAGTAGGAGTGTTTGGTGTACACTTTTTTGCGTTTGGAAATAGTTTGGTGTCCAAATGGTGTGAAGATGGTGGGACCCCGTTTACTCGGTACAAAATGATGGTGTATTCGGTGTTACACCGCCGATTACACCTTCATCACGTGATATAACACTACACTACAAGAACACTGCACTAAAATCCCATTCCGAACTCAACTTATGTCGACACTTTTTACACTATTGACACTATGGCGTTCGTTAATTGGTAGGAATAAGTTTGGGGTACACTTTATTTGCGTTTGGAAATAAGTTGGTGTCCGAATGGTGTGAGGATATTGGGACACCGTTTACCCGGTATAAAATGATGGTGTATTTGGTGTTACACCGCCGATAACACCTTCGTCACGTGATATAACACTACACTACACGAACACCGCACTAGCACTGCACTAAAATCCCATTCCGAACTCAACTTAACAAAAACGTCTTTTTTTGTTGCACCGCGTTTTAAAACGTTTCAAAATTGGTTCGATTGCTACGTCATCATATCGGTAGTAATCAAAAATGCCCCGCTTTAAAACGGAGCGCGAGTACGTAACATTTCCAAAATTATTGGTATTTTGAGGTCAGCTGTTTAAAGTCTATTTTGAAACAGGCTGAAAGAGCGGTTCGAAACTGGTTGAACCGTTTCCGTTGATGACGTCACCGTTGCAACACCAAAATGTAGCGTTTTAAAACGTTTCAAAACATTCCGTCAGAAAAAGACGTCTCAAGGTTACAAAGCAACGCGTCATCAGTTAAATTTTTGGGTGTGTATTTCACATTTATTTGCAGATAGCAAACTAACTTGGAATGCCCACATAAACCAAGGAGAATACACACTCAAGGAGTGAATCGCCACCCATATTGGTGTGCCACCATTTGTAGGTACTTAGGCTGGGTTCCGTTTCCAACCTTAATGTCTAGTGCCTGAAAAACCGGTCTATACGGAACGCGGTTCCCGAAAATAGAAAAATGTTTCGTACGAGCCCAAGGTACGAGCTGAAATTTTCAGCAATCAGACTGTCAACCGACATTCCGTGCGTTCGGTATTTTGATTTGAGCTCTCCGAGCTTGAATTTACCGTTCGTTTATTCAAAAAGTGTACTCGGTGCAGGCTCATTCGCGTCCGTTTATTCAAATTTCGGGCACTCTGACATCGTTCAACTGCTCTGTTCGCTCGTTGGTCACGTGATTACGGCTCCGCTCAACACGCTCTGCTCTGCTCTTTGAGCAAAATACCGAACGCAAGGATTGTATGTCTCTGACTACTACCGACTGGTTTAACCAGGTTTGGAAACGGAACAACCCAACTTACCCAACCGGGTTTCTGCTAGCGTCAGGGTGACGTCACAAGGTGAGGTTGCGTCTCCCAGTAGTCCCAGTCCCAATCCTTTTTTCTTCACAGATTTTACGTTAAATAATTCCAGAGAACTCGAAATTCGTGTAGTTCGACCCGCTAGCAATTTTTTACATTGAGTAAGTATGAAAAAATTGTAAAATTATCCTATTTTTGAGTATTTTAAATAAATCTATCCCGCTTCCTCTGTTGGCCTCCATTATGTGAAAAAATTCCTTCTGCTGACAAAAAGTCTCTTTTGGGTACTTTTTATCGCAAATTATTGAACATTTCAAGCGTTTCCACAATTGTTCTGCACATTTTGGGATATTTTTGTAACATTTTTCAAATCTTTTCAATATCCAGCAGAGTCGAGCAGCCAGCAGCATCCATAATCGAAATTTTTCTTTCCCATTTTATCTAGCTAGTAGCAAAGCAAAAAGCAATCATGAACCGAAGAATGGGTGGTGGTAACCGTCTGGGTGGCAATAATCGCCCCAATTTTTCCCAGCAGCCATTCCATTCGGGTGGCGGTGGCGTCAACCCCTGGCAAGGCGGTGGCGGAAATCAAGGCGGATTAATTCCTCAATTATCGAATCAGTCTCTGGCTCTGGCTTTAACCAGTTTGCTTCAGCCTCAGCAACAGCAGCATCATCAACAGCCTCCGTCCCTTTTATCTCTCAATACCGCAGGGGGTTTCTCTAACAATTACGGTAATCGTTTTGGCGGCGGCGGCATTAGCCGAAACCGCGATATTAGACGCCACGAGCCCTACAACAAGGTATGACAACTTATTTTACTTTTTTTTTTCTGTCTGTGTACTGATTTCCAACTGCAGTACGACCAAATGTTTAGTAGATTATGTTCTTCTCCTTATATTTGTCTATTTAGGTATGTATAGGATATTATTTCAACATCTCTCAAAAAATATTTACCAGAACCAGGATAAAAATTCAATCCTGATTAGATTTTCATTTTTATTTGAAATAAACATTCCTGTATTTGAAAAATTTGATCCCTAGTGTTTGTCTTCCTGATCTTCTATAATATTAATATCACATAATATTATATCTTCTGAGGTATCATGTAACTTTTATATTTACTGAGGACCAAGGCAATATCAGCACATTGAAAAAATGAACATGTATTTTAAAATATCAGATAGGTATTATAAGTATATTGTAATCTGTTCTAAATACCTAGCATTGTTATTGAATATACCTAATGTGCTCATTGAAAATATTGAGATTGAAATAAACATTTTTTTTTTATTTTCCTTCTAGCAAAACAGACTAAAAAAATTTGCTGTGAAATTTCCAAAGTTCAACCTTTTATGGAGTGTTTGAAAAAAAGGAAAAAAACTTAAAAGTTTGACAAACCTTGCTACAAACTGTGTTGCTAGTGGTTGCTACCTACCTATAGAAAAAAATCTTAAAATTTTTTCAAAGGAACATCCTCTATAAAAATATAGTTGGAGTTGGGATCTGAAATACAGCAAATATTTATTCATGGTTCTTCAAAAGCTCCAATAACAGTGTTTCAAAAGACAATCTTTATTTACAGGGTATTTCAGTGCCTAGTATAAAAGGCTCTATTTCTTTTAACTGTGACATTAATTTCAATTGAAATTGATATATTTTCTTTATAAAAAAATGAAGATATTCCAAGGGGTAAATTGTACCTTTTCTAATTCCCCTCAATTTCGATTACCTACCTAATTCCTTCATACTTCTGTGCCTATTTTACCAAATCCATTTTTAGTTTTTAAGATTTTTAATTTTATTTATTGTCAATTTCAGTGGCAAAATATTTGTGGAATTTCTCTTTACGCAATACAGCTGTGAAAAAAATTCATTCTTTTTGTGGTATTGGAAATTTTCAATCCTCACAAAATCACTCATACGTTAATGTGTAACTGTTTCTAAATCAGAATTGAATGCCCTTCAAGATAACACAAGAAGAAGAAATTCTAGTTCTTTGTTTCATGTAATCAACTCTTTTGGATATTTTGATACTTTTTGTGTCAAGGCAACATTTCAGTTGACTTCAACATTATCCAGGATGCTGAAATATTTAAATCCTATACATGCTTGAATATGGCAAATATTTTAATTATTACCATTTGCCATTTTATTGAGTATGCCTACCTGGATTTGACTTTAATAAATTTCCATTGTCTTTAATTGAATTGGGTGTATTTTTCTTGTTGTCACATTACTTTACATGCATACTCAAGCCAGTTATTAATGAAAACTATCTAATATAAGTGCCCAATTTCCCAAATATTATTTATGTATGTAGATGATTTAAAGCAATAATTAAATTCACTAACAAGTCATTTACATACTAGATGCAATACACAGTTATATGTGAAAATATTCCCAAAAATAATTATGGTTTTATTGAAGTTCTATCTCATTTTATACTTATTTAATATGTTTTAACTAAAATAGTTCAATTTAGCGAAGTATTTTAATTAAAAATAAATATTATAGCAGCATATTTTATTTTGAAAATTATCTCATCTATTCTTGACAAATCTCTAATTAAAATAGAATCGTGGAAATTTTGGACGTAAGAAATCACCTCCAAGAAATCAAAAAGGTAACCAGCAGAAAGCTAAGGCAGATGGAAAGAAAAAAGGTGAAAAGAAGGTAAATTAGAACTAACCGCGTATATAATTTAAACTAATAAAATTATCACCTAAAAGCCTGATGGAACAACTACTGCTGAAGAGGAAGACAAAAACGACTCCAAACGCGACTGGAAAGATGAGAAAAACAATGAATCAAAAGAAGGAGAAGAAGGGGATGCTGAAGAAAAAGAGCCAGGCAACAAGGAAGGCAAATACGGAGGTGTACCCTCCAAGTATCTCAGCTGTTTTGTGTGCAACAAGCAGATGTGGGACGGGGAATCCATGGGCAAACATGTCCGCGGCCGTGCCCATCATGAAATGCTGAAAGCGCTGGAAGAGAGCATTCACATTTGCGTGAACATTTTAAGAGAAAACCTGCGTTTGGCTGAAGAGCGCAAAGCTATAGAGTACAACAGGCAAAATCGTCAAAGGAAATTTAGCCAGAGACGCGGCGGCGAACCTCTCATGAGCCATTGCGCCATGTGCGATCTCAAGTTTATGGGCAAAATCACTATTCACCGCAGAGGTGAAGGGCATCAGCGTTTAAAGAGGTACTTGCACCCCACTTGTCGCATGTGTGACAAAGAGTATCCCTCTAGAATTGAATGGATTGAACATTGCTTGACACCTGAGCATTTGAAACGAGTTCATGAGTCTACAGAGAAGAAACTTGGTGACAAAGGTAATTAATTATTTAGTTGTAAATGTGAGACAATATATTTTTATATATTTAGATGGAGATGAAATTGTTGAAGGTGGTGAAAATGAGGAAGAAGAGCCAGAAGCTGAGAATAATGTTGAATTAAATTTGGATCCGTTGCTAGATGAAACTCTCAGTATGGAAGGTGAAGATGTCATTCTGGAAGTGGATGATAATCTTGAAAACTTGACGAATCGTCTGCCAGCTTATAAAAAAGACAGGCCTTTGGCTACTAATAGTCTCTCTGAATTTGTTGGCTGGAAGTGTGACTTATGTCACAGGAGTTTTGCCGACCAAGACGATGCTGATGTAAGAAATGGTCCATTCAATTTTCACATATTTATTTTATAGAAAATTTGTTTCAGGTTCATTTAAAAACCAAAAAGCATTTCTATCGCTTTATTGAGGTGATCAAGGACAGACACGATAGAGAAGAAAAAAGGAAGAAGGCTGAAAAGGAAGCTGCGCTGAAGGCAGAACAGGAAGCAAAAATTAAAAAAGAAAATGGGGAAAAAGAGGGTGGGTTTTAGTGGATTAAGTCTATTACAAATGTGGCAATAATTTTGTTTGTACAGGTGAAGAAGTTGCTGAGGAAGGTGGTGAAGAAGCTGAAGGTGACCAAGAGATGTATGATCCGTCTGAGGCCACAGAAGAAGCTTCCATCAAGGAGGAAAAAGTTGAAGATTTAATGGACACTTCTGTGCCTGAAGAGAAGGTTAAAGAGGATCAAGAGGTGGGTAATTGTTAATTTTGTGAGTTTAGGCATAATCAAAATTAATAAAAATTTCAGGTAACAAAGGCAACTCCTCCAGTTACTCCTAGGGTAACAAGGAAAACTCCTGCGCCCAAGAGCAAGCGCGGGGCTAAAAAATGAGCAACTATTTCCAAGATTTTTGCTTCTTAAAATTTACTTTTTATTATTTAGATATTAGATATGCGTATTTTGTATTGAACTCTTAAGTGTTGGCTAACCAATAGCTGGTAATCAAATTCTTATTAGATAAATCGGAGAGCTGGTTAGTTGTGCTAGTGTTAATGTTAATGTATTTTAGTTGCATTATTTTAAATTACGATTCAATGTAGTTTGTAGAATTTTCCAATAATCTTTGATTTTAATAAACTTTAGACAGTGTAGTGTGAGTTTTTGACTTTTATTTTTACCAAAGCATTTTAAGCACTTAGAGCAAAAGTGAATTTCAAATTTTTGTCCTGAATTTCGATCTTTCCTCCATCCACTTGCAAAATTTCAACCCCTTATACCATTTACTCCAAAAACCCAAAAACTCCCCTGTTTCTAGTTAGATACAGGACTGTATTTGTGTTAAATTTTTTTCAAAAGTTACAACAGAGCAGAAAACTACAATGTAATGTATCGTCAAGATTTTGCGTAAAGTCTAATATTTGTAAAGAGAGTGGCTCCGAATTCGTTCTTAGGACAGTTTTGGAACAAACCTTATTGATTATAATTTTCAATGTTTGTCTATTCCAGGTGCTAGCCTCTCTGGAATAATTCTGAGGTTTTTAAGATCTAAAATGTTCTAACTTGGTTTAGAGTTCTGCGCCTTTAGAAAAATTGAAAAATTCTATTTTTGGATTTTTCTTAATTTTGACTTTAGAAATCGATAGAGCGAGTCTGAATTAGTCAGAAACAATTCTAATATCAAGTACATTTGGAAATTTCAATTGAAAAAAAAAATCTAAAAGGAAATCTCATTTTTGGCTCTAGACATTCATTGAAATCTTGACATGCTCATGAATAATTGCTTATATCTTCGATTATTTTGGAGCAAATTAATGATAACTATGCATCATTGGAAAGAGCAATAAATTCTCTATAAAGCTGTGCACAATTGGTTTTTGTAACTTGTAAGGTTTCCAAGATATTGAGCCTCAAAATGGAAACTTAGTTAAAATTTTGTCCAAAACTTTTAGCTCAATTTTCACAAAAATTATAAATGCTAGCAATTTCAGCTGAATACCATCTGAAAGCCCTTTTCAAAAAGTACAATTCCTGAAAATTTTATTCCAATACCGTTTTTAGTTACCGAGATATTAAGGATTGAAGATTTCCAAATAAAAATCCAAACCTTAAAAAAAAATGCAAAAAATTGAAAATTTCTATTTTTGGATTTTTCTTAATTTTGACTTCAGAAATCGATAGAGCGAGTCCAAATTAGTCAGGAACAACTCTAACATCAAGTAAATTTGGAAATTTCAATAAGTAAAAAAATCCAAGAGGAAATCTAATTTTTGGCTCTAAATTTTTTTTTGAAATCTTGACATCCTCATGAATAATTGCTTATATCTACGATTTCTTTTAAGCAAATTAGTAATAACTCTATATCATTGAAAAGAGCATGAAATTCTCTATAAGCTTGTGTAAAAGTGGTTTTTGTAGTTTATAAAGTTTCCAAGATATTGACCCTTAAAATGGAAATATAGTTGAAATTTTGTCCAAAACTTAAAAGTCGATTTTCTCAAAAACTATAAATGCTAGCGATTTCAGCTAAATACCATCTGAAAGCATTTTTCAAGAGCTACAATTCCTGAAAATTTTGTTTCAGTACTGCTTTTGGTTACCAAGATATTTAAGATTGAAGATTTCCAAATAAGAATCCAAAGGGGGTAACCTTAGAAAAAAATGCAAAAAATTGAAAATGGATTTTTCTTAATTTTGACTTCAGAAATCGATGGAGCGAGTCTAAATGAGTCAGAAGCAACTCTAACATCAATGACATTTGGAAATTTCAATGAGAAAAAAATCCAAAAGGAAACCTTTATTTTTGGCTCTGGACATTCATTAAAATCTTGACATACTCATGAATAATTGCTATATCTTCGATTATTTTTTAGCAAATTAATAACAACCATATATCATTGGAAAGCGTATTAAATTCTCTATAAGGCTGTACAAAACTGTTTTCCATAACTTTCGGGGTTTCCAAAATATCGAGCTTAAAAGTTCAAGTTTAGCTTAAAACTTCAAACTCAATTTTCTCAAAAACCGTAAACGCTAGCGATTCCAGCTAAATGCTATTTTGAAGCTCTAGAGTAAACTCAAAAGCCTGTAATAGAAAAACAACAATTTTCCTTAAATGTTTTCATTCTATTTCTCTCAAAAAACATTTACATACCTACCTTAGGTATAATATTAGAAAACTGCCTATAAAGACAACCCATTATTTGTTTGAATTATCTTGTTTAAAACATAAAACAAAACGTAAAATTATAAATAAATGTTGATTAGAAACACAGTTTGAACGACATCCTACCAGGAACAGATAAAAATTTCAAGACTATAGATTTTAAAGAGGCTGAAAACTGGAACTTTGAAGATTCACAAATCTCTAAAGTCTTCAAAGAATTTAGCGAAAACTTGAAAGACTCTTGATGATTAAAAGGATTGTCTTGTTAGAAATAATACGCTGAATACTAAAGACTTTGAAGATTCTTAGATTTGAAAGAATGAAAAATCTGAAAAAGTTCGAATATTGTCAGGTGTACCTCAAGGTTCCATTTTGGGCCTTGGGGCCACTTCTATATCTTGAAATCATTAAAACATTGCAAAGTGCAGGCTTATGCAGATAATTCACAACTTTATTTTCATTTTGATCCCAGTAACTATGCTTCTGACTTGTAGTCTAGGCAATGTAGGTATACGTCCACTTACCTTTGGGTCCAACATATAACTAGAGAATGATACTATAACTACAACTGCCAGGTTTTAGATTTTAATGATTTGAACGATTAAATAGGTTACAAAGATACTGCTTTTCCTGATAAGTAATTACTATTATTTATGAACAATGAAAATTATTATATACACAAGTATTAAAAGTATTTGATGGCCGCACCATATTTTCATAAGTCTTTTCCAGCTATCACAAAAATTACGGTTCGAGTTCGAATTGTTTATAACAATTTGTGGGCAACGAGTTCACAATTTCCTCAACATTATCCACATCGGCCTGTAAAATTTTAATTTGAACCTTGTAGTTCTCAATTAAATCGTTTTGTGACTTGTGTTGTTTTTGCAACTCTTCCAGGCGTTCTTCCATTTTGGTTTCTTTCAGTTGCAATTCAATGTACGCAATTTGGTTTTCCAGATTGGTCAGCTCTTCGTCGTTAATGTCTTGCGTGTTTTCTAATTCCAGCGTTATGCTTTTTACGTCTTTGAGTAAATCGTTTACGCGGTTTCGAGCCACGTCTGTGTCTTTACCGGCTCTACCAACCTACAACTTTAAATAAAGTGAAATGCTTTTGAAAAAGGAAAATTTTACCTTCTCTTTGGCGTCGTGTACTAGAGTACTGTTGCTCCGAGCTTTTTCTAGCAAACTCTTGAGTTCAGCTTCGGTATTCAGGACTCTGTCGAACATAAATCCAGCTTCGTCTCCCAAAAAAGTAGTATTTTGCTGTAAGAGTTCAGCTTCAAGTTTAATTTTTTGAGTTTTGATTGAAGCATTTCCAGCCAATTCATCTGCTTGAATAGCCTTTTCCAGGGCGTAATCAGCATTTAATTGTGCGTCTTCTAAGGTGTTTTGAGCTTCATTAGATTTATCATTCGTTTCGAGTATGATTACTTCAATTTGGGAAATAGTTTTCAGAGAATCTTCTGCCTTTTCTTTAGAAATTTGCCTTTGAGTGTCAAATTCTATATACAAAAATGAAAATAGAAATAGGTAACAAATTTAATATAATTTTTTTTTTAACCTGATAGAAGCTTATAATTCCCTTCGGCTCTATTTAGTATGTCATTCCACAGCTTGATAGCCTGTACAGCTTGAGCATCACAAAATTCGACGTCATTCCGTAAATCTTCAATATCTTCTTGCTGTTCCAGGGCTGTTTCCAATAATTCCTTGCCAGAAGTTTGTTTTTCATCAATTGAATTGCGTAAATCTTCAGCTTTAAGAAAGAGCTCTCTGGATTTGTTTCCTAAGCGGTAAGCTTCATTTTTAAGATCTATTGAAACTGTGCGCAATTCTGGAACGTTTATTTGGGGCACTAAAAGATTGTTTACGTCGTTAAGGAGGGCCAAAGCATCATTTTTGACCTAGAATGAGATTAAAATTTGCAATTAGTTGAAAATTTAAATGTATGTACATATGTACCTCTCTAGCTTCATCTCTAACTTGTTTTGTCCATTCATTACTCCTATTCAGCTTAAGTTCAGCATTGACAATTTCTGTTTTTAATTTCCTAGCATCGTCACTCACATTTTGTTGCATCAAATGTGTATTTTTAATTTTTTCATAGGCTACTATTGATTTATTTTTAGCTTCTCTTGTCTTTGTTTCAATTATTTCCGCTTTACTGTTTAGATTCTCAGTTAATTCTCTAGAAGTTTTGGCTATTTCGGTCATTTTTTCTGATTGTTGACCAGCAATTTGGGAGCGCTTCGAAGCGTCTTCAAACGCCCGCTTACTTTGACGGTTGAAAGTATCTTCGACTTCTAACAGTCGTTCTTCGATTTCAATTAGGAACTCTTCAGAGTGGTCTAAGTTGTTTTGGGATTTTTTGACTTTTTCTTCTGTTGCAAAAATATTTTCAGATATTTCCTCTAGAGTCCTGGCAACGTTTTTTTCTCTTTCTTTCATATTTATAATTTGCTACAAAACAAACAACAATGCAAACCATTTAATAGATTATTGCTTAAACTTACCTCAAAAACACTATTATCTCCAGTGACTGTGTTAATTTTATCATAAAAATCATCAATTTCATTTTCCAGTTTTTCCAACTCTTCAGGGAATTCATCATCGTCAATTACAGTAGGCTGATGTTCAACTTCATTTAAAATCTCACTCAATCTGTCTAGTTTCATTGAGTGACTTCTAGAAGCATCTTGTACCAAGTTGTAGCAATCGGGACAATCCACACATCCTCGTTGTCTATCGTACTTATTCTCCTTGCAGCGATCGCATTTTTTCCCTTCAACGTTTTCCAAACAAGGACACTGACCAGAAGTATCGCATTGTAGATTCCTAGAACCTATTTGGTCACATTCACACTCTGTGCACCCATCAATGGAAAATCCGTATTTCCTAGCTTCGCAATGGTCGCATCGCAATCCGGTTACTCCAGATCTACAGTAACACTGTCCAGTTATCAGGTCACAGGATTGGTTGAAGGAGCCGATTGGATCGCAGTTGCAGCTTCGACAACCTTCCGCATTTAGGATGTTGAAATAGCCATTTTCACATTTATCGCAATTAATGCCGATTACGTGGTCTTTACACTTGCAAGAGCCGGTGGATTGGTCACAAATAGGTTCAGTCTGGAAATCGTAGGTGCCTGGCGGGAAACATTGACATTTTTTGCAGTCGCCTTTTGGCAGAACCAAAGCGTTTCCAAAATATCCTATGGAAGGATTAAATTAATTTTCCAATAAACAAATACGTAATAGTATTACCAAGGGGTGGTTAACTGCTTAAAATATGTAAGTACACAGATTTCAAATCTTCATTGATTTTGTAGGATTTTGAAAATCTTCATAGGATTTTACAGGATTTTAAAAGATTTTAGGTGATTTTGGAAGTTAGGAGGGTTTTTAGAGATTTTAAGGGATTTTTGGGGATCCCAAAGGATTTTTGGAGATGTTAAAGGAATTTTTAGGATCTTGCCGGATTTTTTTGTTCTAATAAAATTTTGTTAGATTTTTAAAGATTTTCAGGGATTTTGAGTAGATCTTACGAGTTTTTCTGGGATTTCGACCAACTTGTATACAAATTTTCATCAATTAACCGCTCGAAGTTTAGTTAACTCCATAAAATGTGTAGGTACCTACATAATTGAATCTTTAGGCATTGATTTTGTAGAATTCTGAAAAACTTGATTTTAAAAGATTTTAGATTTATGAGATTTTAGGTGATTTTGGATCATTTTAGGGAATTTAGAAAACCCTTTTTTTATGGCGTTTTCACCAACTAATTTAGGGGAGCCTTAACGATAAGTAAGTATTCCATGGAAATTCCACGGAAATTCTGTTTAATTCCAAGGGAATTTTTCGGATTTAATGTAATTTCACTGGAATTCCACAATGAGATTTCAAGGAATTCCATATATGAAATTCGACGAGAATTCCTTGGAATTTTACTTGACATTTCATCGAAATTTTATGTTAGTCGACACAAAGTGAAATTGAAAAATTCTGAAAAACTTGATTTTAAAAGATTTTAGATTTATGAGATTTTAAGTGATTTTGGATCATTTTAGGGAATTTAGAAAACCCTTCCTTTATGGCGTTTTCACAAACTAATTTAGGGGATCCTTAACGAGAAGTAAGTATTCCATGGAAATTCCACGGAAATTCTGTTTAATTCCAAGGGAATTTTTCGGATTTAATGTAATTTCACTGGAATTCCACAATGAGATTTCAAGGAATTCCATATATGAAATTCGACGAGAATTCCTTGGAATTTTACTTGACATTTCATCGAAATTTTATGTTAGTCGACACAAAGTGAAATTGAAAAATTCTGAAAAACTTGATTTTAAAAGATTTTAGATTTATGAGATTTTAAGTGATTTTGGATCATTTTAGGGAATTTAGAAAACCCTTTTTTTATGGCGTTTTCACCAACTAATTTAGGGGAGCCTTAACGATATGTAAGTATTCCATGGAAATTCCACGGAAATTCTGTTTAATTCCAAGGGAATTTTTCGGATTTAATGTAATTTCACTGGAATTCCACAATGAGATTTCAAGGAATTCCATATATGAAATTCGACGAGAATTCCTTGGAATTTTACTTGACATTTCATCGAAATTTTATGTTAGTCGACACAAAGTGAAATTGAAAAATTCTGAAAAACTTGATTTTAAAAGATTTTAGATTTATGAGATTTTAAGTGATTTTGGATCATTTTAGGGAATTTAGAAAACCCTTTTTTTATGGCGTTTTCACCAACTAATTTAGGGGAGCCTTAACGATATGTAAGTATTCCATGGAAATTCCACGGAAATTCTGTTTAATTCCAAGGGAATTTTTCGGATTTAATGTAATTTCACTGGAATTCCACAATGAGATTTCAAGGAATTCCATATATGAAATTCGACGAGAATTCCTTGGAATTTTACTTGACATTTCATCGAAATTTTATGTTAGTCGACACAAAGTGAAATTGAAAAATTCTGAAAAACTTGATTTTAAAAGATTTTAGATTTATGAGATTTTAAGTGATTTTGGATCATTTTAGGGAATTTAGAAAACCCTTTTTTTATGGCGTTTTCACCAACTAATTTAGGGGAGCCTTAACGATATGTAAGTATTCCATGGAAATTCCACGGAAATTCTGTTTAATTCCAAGGGAATTTTTCGGATTTAATGTAATTTCACTGGAATTCCACAATGAGATTTCAAGGAATTCCATATATGAAATTCGACGAGAATTCCTTGGAATTTTACTTGACATTTCATCGAAATTTTATGTTAGTCGACACAAAGTGAAATTGAAAAATTCTGAAAAACTTGATTTTAAAAGATTTTAGATTTATGAGATTTTAAGTGATTTTGGATCATTTTAGGGAATTTAGAAAACCCTTTTTTTATGGCGTTTTCACCAACTAATTTAGGGGAGCCTTAACGATATGTAAGTATTCCATGGAAATTCCACGGAAATTCTGTTTAATTCCAAGGGAATTTTTCGGATTTAATGTAATTTCACTGGAATTCCACAATGAGATTTCAAGGAATTCCATATATGAAATTCGACGAGAATTCCTTGGAATTTTACTTGACATTTCATCGAAATTTTATGTTAGTCGACACAAAGTGAAATTGAAAAATTCTGAAAAACTTGATTTTAAAAGATTTTAGATTTATGAGATTTTAAGTGATTTTGGATCATTTTAGGGAATTTAGAAAACCCTTTTTTTATGGCGTTTTCACCAACTAATTTAGGGGAGCCTTAACGATATGTAAGTATTCCATGGAAATTCCACGGAAATTCTGTTTAATTCCAAGGGAATTTTTCGGATTTAATGTAATTTCACTGGAATTCCACAATGAGATTTCAAGGAATTCCATATATGAAATTCGACGAGAATTCCTTGGAATTTTACTTGACATTTCATCGAAATTTTATGTTAGTCGACACAAAGTGAAATTGAAAAATTCTGAAAAACTTGATTTTAAAAGATTTTAGATTTATGAGATTTTAAGTGATTTTGGATCATTTTAGGGAATTTAGAAAACCCTTTTTTTATGGCGTTTTCACCAACTAATTTAGGGGAGCCTTAACGATATGTAAGTATTCCATGGAAATTCCACGGAAATTCTGTTTAATTCCAAGGGAATTTTTCGGATTTAATGTAATTTCACTGGAATTCCACAATGAGATTTCAAGGAATTCCATATATGAAATTCGACGAGAATTCCTTGGAATTTTACTTGACATTTCATCGAAATTTTATGTTAGTCGACACAAAGTGAAATTGAAAAATTCTGAAAAACTTGATTTTAAAAGATTTTAGATTTATGAGATTTTAAGTGATTTTGGATCATTTTAGGGAATTTAGAAAACCCTTTTTTTATGGCGTTTTCACCAACTAATTTAGGGGAGCCTTAACGATATGTAAGTATTCCATGGAAATTCCACGGAAATTCTGTTTAATTCCAAGGGAATTTTTCGGATTTAATGTAATTTCACTGGAATTCCACAATGAGATTTCAAGGAATTCCATATATGAAATTCGACGAGAATTCCTTGGAATTTTACTTGACATTTCATCGAAATTTTATGTTAGTCGACACAAAGTGAAATTGAAAAATTCTGAAAAACTTGATTTTAAAAGATTTTAGATTTATGAGATTTTAAGTGATTTTGGATCATTTTAGGGAATTTAGAAAACCCTTTTTTTATGGCGTTTTCACCAACTAATTTAGGGGAGCCTTAACGATATGTAAGTATTCCATGGAAATTCCACGGAAATTCTGTTTAATTCCAAGGGAATTTTTCGGATTTAATGTAATTTCACTGGAATTCCACAATGAGATTTCAAGGAATTCCATATATGAAATTCGACGAGAATTCCTTGGAATTTTACTTGACATTTCATCGAAATTTTATGTTAGTCGACACAAAGTGAAATTGAAAAATTCTGAAAAACTTGATTTTAAAAGATTTTAGATTTATGAGATTTTAAGTGATTTTGGATCATTTCAGGGAATTTAGAAAACCCTTCCTTTATGGCGTTTTCACAAACTAATTTAGGGGATCCTTAACGAGAAGTAAGTATTCCATGGAAATTCCACGGAAATTCTGTTTAATTCCAAGGGAATTTTTCGGATTTAATGTAATTTCACTGGAATTCCACAATGAGATTTCAAGGAATTCCATATATGAAATTCGACGAGAATTCCTTGGAATTTTACTTGACATTTCATCGAAATTTTATGTTAGTCGACACAAAGTGAAATTGAAAAATTCTGAAAAACTTGATTTTAAAAGATTTTAGATTTATGAGATTTTAAGTGATTTTGGATCATTTTAGGGAATTTAGAAAACCCTTCCTTTATGGCGTTTTCACAAACTAATTTAGGGGATCCTTAACGAGAAGTAAGTATTCCATGGAAATTCCACGGAAATTCTGTTTAATTCCAAGGGAATTTTTCGGATTTAATGTAATTTCACTGGAATTCCACAATGAGATTTCAAGGAATTCCATATATGAAATTCGACGAGAATTCCTTGGAATTTTACTTGACATTTCATCGAAATTTTATGTTAGTCGACACAAAGTGAAATTGAAAAATTCTGAAAAACTTGATTTTAAAAGATTTTAGATTTATGAGATTTTAAGTGATTTTGGATCATTTTAGGGAATTTAGAAAACCCTTTTTTTATGGCGTTTTCACCAACTAATTTAGGGGAGCCTTAACGATATGTAAGTATTCCATGGAAATTCCACGGAAATTCTGTTTAATTCCAAGGGAATTTTTCGGATTTAATGTAATTTCACTGGAATTCCACAATGAGATTTCAAGGAATTCCATATATGAAATTCGACGAGAATTCCTTGGAATTTTACTCGACATTTTATCGAAATTTTATGTTAGTCGACACATAGTGAAATTGTATACAATTTGATGGAAATTCTGCGAATATTTCATTTTTTTTTTCGGAATACTACTGAAATTCTCCAAAATTCTATAGAAATGCCAAATTTAAAACTTTACTGAAATTCCACTCTTGGAATTCCACAAAATTTTCATAAAATGGAATTTCACTGAAATTTCTTAGAAATTCTAAACTTTTATGAGGATTTTTTGAAATTTCACTGAAATTCCACGTTATTAGACGGATATTTCTCAAAATTCCAATTTTTTTTTTACAAAATTTCATTTATTTCCATAAGAATTTTTAGGCATTTCACTGAAATTCTCTTTCAATAGTCAGGAATTTCTGGGAATATTAATGACACTTCAAGTAATTTCTTGAAAATTCACCGAAATATATTTTTCCAAATTTCACCGAAATTCCAAGTTTTTAGCCGAAGACTCTTCGGAATTCCACTTGTGAAATTTTCTTTAATTTCACTAAAACTCAGTCAATCGATGGGAATTTTTCGGAATTTCAATTTCACTAAAATGCCATGTTTTTAACTGGGAAATTCCTTGGAATAAAAATAAAAATTCGTGATTACATTACATTCCTTATGAAAAGATAAGAGTTGTTCAAAATTCCACTTAAATTTCACGTAATTCCTTGACAATTCCTTGGAATTCCATGCAATTACATCGGAGCTCCATATAATTCGACGAAAATTCTTCGTAATTCATGTAAATTTTTGAAACTTTTGTAAAATTCTTTATGTAATTTAAGGATCACTGAAATTTCATGTTGGGAATTTTGGTGTTATTCCATGTAATTTTCTAGAATTCCTTGATGCAACTCATTCAGGATTTCATGTAATTTCTCTAAATTTCATATTTCATGTAATTCGAGAGGAACTAAAATTTAATGTGAATTCCTTGGTGAATTCTATAGAAACTCCGCAAAAATTGCACATGTCACATTTCACACTATAAAATTCAATGGGATTCTTCGAGTTTTTTTTTTCGGAATTACTAGGTATTAGATTTTCGAGGAGTTATTCACTAAGGGAAAAATGTGACAAGATTTCGGATTTAGAGCGATTTTGAGGGATTTCGGAGGATTTCGGTAGGATTTTGGAAAGCCTTCCAGGGATTATTCACTGTGACAAGATTTCAGATTTAGAGCGACTTTGAGGGATTTCGGTCAATTTCTAAGGATTTCGGTTGATTTCGGGTGATTTCGAAGGATTTCGGGTGATTTCGAAGGATTTCGGGTAATTTCGAAGAATTTCGGATGATTTTGGAGAATTTCAGGTGATTTCGAAAATGTTTTAATCTAATTTCAGACTGTTACCTACTATAAGTATATGCAAAGGTGTATTAGTATTAACTGAAAAACGGCCGCGTTGACCGATTTATGAATTTTGGGCCAATTTGCGAGGGATTTTTGGGCTTACGGAAAGATTTCGGAGTGATTTCGTGGATTTCGGAAAGATTTCGGGGATTTCGGACACGATTTCGTGGAGTGATTAACCCCTCGAAGATTGAAATTCTTCGGAATTCCACTAATATTTCAAGTTATTCCATGGGAATTCCGCGAAAATTTAAAGTAATTCCATAGAAATTCCTTAACATTTCACCAGAAGATTTTATGGAATTCTTAGACAAATTTTTTTCGGAATTACAGTATAAGATTTCATGAAATTCCTCGGAATTCCATTAAGATTTCAATTTCAAAATTCCATAAAAATCTTTTTTTAACTTTACTGAAATTCCCCAAAATTTTACCACTGAAATATCCTGGAATTCCACAAAATTTTCATAAAATTCTTTGGAATTTCATTGACATTTCGTGTTATTACTTAAAAATTCCTCGGAATTTACTAAAATTTTATGAGAATATTTTGTAATTCCTCGTTCATAGCCGAAAATTTCTCGAAAGTCCAATAATTTTTCAAAATTTAATTTATTTTCATAAGAATTTTTCGGTATTTCTTTGAAATTCTCTGGGAATATTATTGAAACTTCAAGTAATTTCTTGAAAATTCACCAAAATATATTGAAATTTCATATCATTACATGGGAATTTTTTGAAATATCACCAAAATTCCATGTTTTTAGCCGGAAATTCCTCGACATTCCACTTGTGGGATTTTCTGGAATTTTACTAAAATTAAGTAAGAACTGAAATTTCATGTTGAGAATTTCGGTGTAATTTTATATAATTGTTTAGAATTCCTCCATATGTAATTCATTTAGGATTCCGTGTAATTCGAAAGGAATTAAAATTTAATGTGAATTCTATGGAAACTCCGCAAAAATTTCACATGTAATTCCTTTTTCAGAATAACATATATTCTACCGAAATTCCTCGAAATTCCACTAAATTATAGAATTCTGAGAGATTTTAATAAATTTTTGGAGATTCTAAAGGATATTTGGGAATTTCAAAGGAAATATTTTTTAGGAATGTTAATGATTTTATGAGATTTTGCAGGATTTTTTTGGTTTCAATGAAATTTTTTAGGATTTTATGCAATTTCAAAAGATTTTGTGGCGTTTTATTAAATTTTTAAGGATTTCAAAGATTTTTATGGATTTTGAGTAGATCTTATGAGATTTTCTGGGATTTCGACTAACTTGTACACGGATTTTGACCAGTTATATCCACCCCTCGAGTATTACCTGGTAAGCAAACATCACAATTATATTCTCCAGTGCTGTATATACATCTCAAACACTCCCCAGTAGTAGTGTCGCAATTTCCAATAGCGTTAGGGTCAATGTTTTGATTACAATCGCAAGGTTGGCACAATTTAGGTTCCCCAAATCGCCCAGTAGGATCTCCAAAATATCCATCCGAGCACAAATCGCACTTGTGTCCAGAATATCCGGTAGGACACTCTGTGCACATTGTCAACTCATCTCCTATTTGTATGCAAGCTCCACCTTCAGGACAACCACAGGGTCGGCAATCGTTTGCAGTTCCAGACAAAGCATTTCCATAAAAGCCTCTGGCGCAAACTTCGCAATTTTCGCCAGCAGTGTTGTGCTGACAAATGCACTGGCCAGTTTCCGAGTCGCAAATGCTGGTGTGGTTGTTGCAGTCGCACGGGATGCAATTCATAAATGGACCGCCCATTGTTGGCGTGTGCCTGTAACCTGGAGCGCAGGATTCGCAGTACTGACCAACGTAACCTGGAATTGGTTGAAAATGTTGGATAAACTGATATTTATATCAGTGAACCAAAAATTAATAAATTAAACTTTGAATATAAGCCTATACTTTGCTAATTTATATTACAGCTATGGATGACTGAATATGTTCAAAATAGTTTTTATAGGGAGGTAAGATAAACAGATGAGGAATTGTTTACTTAAGAAAGGGTTTGTAATTCTTTGTCTTTCGATGTGAGTCAGTTTCTATCGAGGTTCCTATAGTTAGTTCTATGAGTTCGCTGGATAATTTCTAGAAATTTGTACCTGGTCGACAATCGCAAAGTTCTATCCACAAAGCGCTTTTTCCGGCAACACCTCTGGAAGCTGTTTCAAGTTTGAAGTCATCCAGAAATCCTACGCCTCTCAAAGAATAAGTGCCTTTGATTTTAATCGCCGTTAAATTGGTAAGCAACGAAATGAATGTTCTGGATGTGAGTCGCGGTTGCCAGCCGTAATCTGGATGCTCGTGTAAACGGAATTTGTAGTTTTGAGTCTACGATATATACAAATTAATTAAATATTGTTGAAAACGTGTGAGTGTAAAATCTGTTCACCTCTACACTTGGGATTTTATTTTGTTGAGCAAAAATTGTATTTGTAACAGACATATTGACACTTTCCAGAATAATGTCCGTTGCTGAAGGTATTGGCCGGTTATCGTTAATTCGCAATGAAAAATCTAATAGTTGGTTGTAGGAGGCCCTTTGATCTCCCAAGAATCTATCAGGAGCTATAAAATAAATTGTTTCCTCTCCATTAGATTGCACTCCAATGCTTTGGCTGATCGCTTCGTATTTAACTTCATTTATCCTGCCGTACTGATCAAAAGCCTTCCATTTTTCTGATCCCTTCGCAAAAGTCGATTCTAAAAGATATTTGAAATAGCCCGGAGCCGATTTGCACTCGGACGAATGCCCATAACAAAAACAGGGAGTGCAACCAAATTCATTATCCGAATCCAAATTAAAGTAACCAGGTTTGCACTCTTTGCATTGTTTGCCTTCAACGTTTTCTTTGCATACGCAAACGCCTGTTTCTGGATCGCATTTTACCGTGTTGAACGCGGATCCTGCTTGATGGCAATTACAGCTTTTGCAACCGGTTTTGGAAAAGGCGTAGTGATTTTCGGCGCATCTAGAATAAATTATTTATTATTTGGGATGGGGACAACAAAATTGATTGTACTTGTACCTATCGCATTTTCCGCCAGTTACTCCAGGTTTGCATTGGCACTTTCCCTCCAAGTTGCACTGCTGGAACATGGAACCGATCGGATCGCAGTTGCAAGCTTCGCAGTAACCGTCTTCACGCATGTGGTAGTTCGGACGGCACCTTTCGCAACTTGGTCCATCTCTGTTCGAGGCACAGTCTAAACAGTGTCCACCGTGACCGGTTTGCTCGTAGAGTTTTTGGTCGAACATGCATCGGGTAGAGTAACCGTTGCAATTACATTCTGAAACAAAAAATTAGCTCAGAAGAGTAGTGCCGCAACTAGGGCGTGGCGAAGGTGGCATTTGCCACGGGCGCAAGCTTCATCAGAAGGGCGCAATCTGCCACTAATTGTTAAGCATGAAGCGCCTTTTGCGTAACACACCAAAACTTTAAAGAGCGTTTTCCGGATTTTATTCTTGATACAGCGAAATAGATATTGATTTATTGCAATTTCCAACTCCCAGAGATAAAAAGCAAAATGTCAAAAAGAGCCTTTTCCACAAATTTCTAGCATCCAGAAACAAAGACATTGTGAAAATGCAGTTTCAAATTCACTATTAGGCTTGAGTTTTGCTTCTCAGATCACTGAGGACTGGAAGTTGGCATGAGAGAATTTTTTTAACATGTTGAAAAGTCAGAAGAGCTTGTCAAGGCGATGTATGACTTGTTGAAAAGCTTCTCAAGGCAATTCTCGCCTCCCAGATAAGAAGCAAAATTGCATTTCAAAGATTTAGAAAAGTTTCTAAACCCTAAAAAGCTGGACTTTCTTGATTCATTGCTTTATTCTGACTCTGAAAATTGCCTTTGGAGGCCAAGAAGAGCCTTTTCCAGGAATTTCTAGCATTCAGAAACAAAGACATTTGTAAAAATGCAATTTTAATTTCACTATTAAGCTTGAGTTTTGCTTCTCAAATCCTTGAGGACTGGAAGTTCCCATGAGAGATCTTTTTTGACATGTTAAAAAGCCAGAAAAGCTTGTCAAGGCATATATGTCTTGGAAAGAGCGTTTTTCGGATTTTATTCTTGACACAGCGAAATAGATATTGATTTATTGATATGGTACTAAAACAACCCAGAAGAAGATAGGAACCAAAAATGCGTGGTGAGGAAGGATATGACGAGGCCCATCTTTTCCAAAAAATCAAATGTTGCAAAGTATGACGTACTTATGACTTTATTCTTGAAAATATTTATCTCAACATATATATCGGACAGCTTTAACCTGGGCTTCAACAATATTTCTGAGCCTTTCCATTAACTACTGCTACGTGTGAGCGTTTCTTTAGTAAGCTTGAGCTTATACAGGGTCTCCGGAATAACTTGAAGTACATAGGGCAATTTGAATTACAAAATAAATGCACACTTTTTCCTTTTTTGCCCTGTAGGTATATAAACTATATCTGTTGCTATTCCGAGTTCAAAGAAGTTGGTGACAGATTATTTGTAGGCACTTGATTGCGTAATTTTTCCTCATTTGGTCCACCCCCTGTATCTTCAATGGTTTCCAAAATCCCCATGAAACTCAAATTACTCCGGATACCCGGTATTGTCAATAATCCTTTTCTTTCGTGTTTCCTTAACCTATTTTCTGCTATAAAGTCCGTCGATTTTAATCTGATACTCGAAAGGAATGTGAGCTGGTGGCCAGAGCTGGGCAGTAGCTAGCTACCAAGTAGTTGAGCTACTAGCTTAGCTACTTTTTTGGTAGCTAATAACTTATTCAAGCTACTTTGAAAAAAAAAGTAGCTTGTAGCTGTAGCTTTGGGTAATGTGTGTCAAGTATTCATAAGCTACTGTGAAAAGTAGCTAGCTACTAAAACAAGCTACTCAAGCCTTAAGCTACTTTTGGTAGATAGTTAATAGTTGTTTGGGTATTAATGGCGGAAAGTGTCATTTACCGCCCGAGGGTGTGGTTAACGATACTTAACGCCCAAAATACTTATTACGTTTTATGCGCAGCGGACTCTTCTAGTTCAAAAATGAAATAACTATACCTATAATATAATGGCATCCATTCGACATTGTTTTCAAAAATAAACAGTTTTCCCCTTATAAAGGCACGTTTCCACCAACCTATCGCCCGCGTCTGAATTTACCGCGCGATAAAAGTAACTTTATACTTCAATTGCTCAAGCTACAATTATCATTTTCCGGAAAATTCTTATCCTGCTTTGCTTAGACTAGTTGCTAGTTATCTCTGTAGGTACCTATGTTTTATGTGTCCTATTTTATTCTCGCATTCGCAGATCACTGTGATCAAAGTGAACCTAATAAATTAATATCCAGTGGTTTTTGACAAAAATATGAATACCTACTACTTCTTAGAGAAAGTTAATATGTTATTTTCGTATGATGATATTATGAAATTAAATTAGGTAAGGTAGGTATGTACATTGATGGTGGCGATTGTGCACGCTTTTTTGTTTTTATCAATTTAACTTTCAAAAAAGTAGCTTGAATAGTAGCTTTCACTAATTCAAAATGTAGTTAAGTTACTAATAGCTTAGCTACTTTTTCAAAGAGGTAGTTAAGCTACTGAGTAACTTAGCTACTTACAATATAAAGTAGCTTGAAGCTTGTAGCTAGCTACTTTTTCCAAGTAGCTTGCCCAGCTCTGCTAGTGGCACCCTATATTAGAACGCCAATGGTCACCTGACGTCACACCTGTTTTTCCCATATACTTCACCCTCTCGCTCCTCATACGGAAAGTGACAGTTAAAAATCGGTGAACAATAGAAACCTATGTTATGTTTTTGAGTGATACCTACTTTAAATTTTGAGTTTCGGATGTTAATATTTTATTAATGTCAAATGAAACAGGAATTTTTATATCACTTAAGTACCTACTTTTTTACATGGAATATGGGGCGGGGGCGCAAATTAATAAGCTGCCACAGGCGCATAAGCAGGTCTAGTGACGGCTCTGCAGAAGAGAGCTGCTACATAATCCGGTGTTTAAGCCTTTTTTTTTTATTGCGTAATACTACATCGATTTTTAGGGGACACTTTTTTTTTTATTTTGTCCAAAAGTTATCACTAACTTTAAAAAAATATATTAAATTTATAATTTGAATTTTACTGTAAAGGAGCGCGTGACGTCATGGACCGCAAGTACCACACAATACCACTAGATGCCGCACAGTCTTCTATTAAGTCTACAGTTTACTATAGCATTTTGCATCTTGGTGGTACTCTGCCATGTAGAATTCGAAATATTAAATACCGCACAGTGTGTCAAGCCCACGGGCCGAGCCTATAAAATCCTGTCGATATGTAGAATTCTATACATGACACTGAGTCCCTGGGCTGTTCGGTCACTGTGAAAACAGCTGTGAATCACCTCATTGGTCTCAACTCAACTTTTGTTTACATAAAATTAGTGACGACAAAAAAAAAGCAAAATCAAAATAAATGAATGGTACCAGTGGTACCACAAGCTTTACTGATACCACCACATTGACTTTGATGAAAACAAAAAAAACAAAACAATGCCGCTATTGGGTCGCAAAGTGTTGTGTACCTAGTTGACGAAGGGTGGACGAAGGTACTTATCATTTTTCAAGGTTAAAATCAGTTTTACGGTGAATGCCGGGAAAATATTGTAGCAATTTGCAGTGACAAATTCCTGGCATTCTTCCAATTAAATCTGGCCAAAAATATTGAAAGTCCACCTATTTCTTGGTATATATTTCTAGTAAAATGTTTAGTGAATTTGTGGCGGCATCTATTGGACTATTATATATTTGATCACAAAAAAAAAGGTCCTTGAGTGGCGCCATCTGTTGATGATTCTCTACACGATCAGGCGGTGACGTCATAATATTTTGGCGTCTGTTTGAATTGGTGAGTATTAATATCAAATTTTATTAATTTGTGTTGTGTCTTGTTGTCTTGTTTATTTGCTTTTTGTCTTGCCAGTTGCGTAAAGGCATGCGTGGTTGTTGGTTAGTCAATTGGTCACATAGCGTTATGTTGTACAATTAACTGCAGCCTGTTTTACCTATTTTTATAAGACTAGACTACTCCATAGGTACAAATTTGAAAAAAAGCTGAAAATATTCAACATTTCATATTTCTGACATTGAATTTTTGCTTTTGATCATGGATTGTAAAACTTTAGCCAATACTGTACAACTTTTGTATTTAGGTATACCTTTCATCTACTTGTAAAGGTGAAGGCTGTAGGTGGGGTGTCAATATATAAAAAAAACACCCCGTACTTGAACAATAACTTATTATATAAAGTCAGAATTTGTGAGATTATCCACTTTTTGTCAATTCACCTTTCAACAGGAATTAGTAATGTTACTTCATTAAACTAGCAATATATTGTGACAAGTTATTCAAGTACAAACGAGTGGATTGTTGCGGAACTTATGAGTGGACCTCTGCGGGACGAGCGCAGCGAGTTCCGCAGCCATCTATTCATCAATATGTTGTTTAATTATGATACCAACCTGACTCACTCAAATGTGAGTTATTCTCATTAGTTTACAAACTACATGGTTCAGAGGTTAATGTCTTACTTAAACAGTTCAGCAGTATATTGCTGAGTAGATGGCTGCGGAACTCGCTGCTCTTGTCCCGCAGAGGTCCAGATAATCAGTTCTGAATCGAATAGCTAACGAAGTTTTATTCACGGATCACATTTAGAACCAGTTCAGAATAATTGTCGCAGACTTTAAAAATGAAACCTATGATTCTTTTAATAACCGTAGAACTTGTTCAGATCAGGTGGGGGATTCTCATCCTCTAGTCGCAACCTATCGTCCCGACTCACCCGTAGAAAGGCAATGGGATAGTCGGGACAATAAGTTGCGACTAGAGGATGAGAATCCCTCACCTGATCCGGAAACCGATTCTAGAACTGGAACAGAAAACTCATCAGAATTCAATGATTTTTGAAAGATGTAATTCAAATTGTGGATCCAAACTGTTCCGAATCAGTTCTGAATCAAATAGCTAACGAAGTTATATTCATGGATCACATTTAGAACAAATTTGAAACTACCTTACAAAAATTGTTGTAAACTTCAAAAATGAAACTTATGATTCTTTCAATATCCGTAGAACCTGTTCAGATCTAATCTGGTAACCGATTCTAGAACAGAAAACTCAAAGTTTCAAGTCTCTGGAGTATTTTTTAGGATTTTTCAAAAATGATTTAACTTGAGTTTTCCAACTTTTTCTGTTATTAAGTTGGGAAAAAACTTCATAATTTGATTTCTGAACTTCAAATTT